TATCTGTAACTGAATATAGTGGAGGTCGCCGTAACGATACACTGCGTAATCTAAACAATTTATATTCTGCAACACGAATATCCAACTACTAGACACATACAATTGGGGATGACACGTCGATTGCGTCAAAGTTCATGCGGGTTTTGAATCACGATCAGCAAGTACGGTTTGGCTATTTAAACGATAATGTTGCGTTAGTGTTCAAGATCTAAATCCACTACAGCATCTCCTTCTTACTCTCTGCGACCATGATCTAAAAATGATATTGTATCGGTGAGTCAACATCACACAACCTTTGTGACAGCTGTCGTTCATACCTCATGCTTTTTCGACCGTATACGCAAGAAGGTCAGGTCATCCTACAATTCCAAATCACATTCAGCTAGCGTTTCAAACAATAATCAGTCCTATGTATCATTCATTACCTCTGGATCTAAATCCCTTACAGACCCTTTCGCCTTTGCAGCCAACTGAGACACCAGGGTCGAGTACTGCTGTGTCTGTATATTGTCCAAAGTAGATCGAATCACTGCTCCTTCATGTGTCGCAATTACGATTCCTACGTTTTTCCATCTCAAGTATGAGACAATTGCGATAAAATGCTATGTAAATGCAATGCGATCCCCACACCTTGAACACCCTTATGAGTTTGTAGTCTTGCAAGAGTGGCTTCTACATCTGCATAATCCTTGGTTCCTTCTTTGGGTACAGCTGCCTAAATACGAGATGATAGTGTCAGTCGATTTGGGTTGGATTGTGAGATAGGGAGCGCCAGTTCTGGTTGTACATGATATGGAGTAGCATCGGATCAATTGAGATATATGACCGCTTACCATGTCGTATTGTCCCGGTGGTTGGAATCAATCAATCCGTTGCAGAACTGTCCTTGTTTGTGGTTTGGGAAAAATCACGACGAAATGTGAAGATAGATGAGGAGGAATAACAGGACGGGCCAAGGCAGGAAGAAGGGAGATCGCAACGCACTAAATATGAACTGCAGAACTACACGCGTTGCGTTACGAAAAAATGATATATTTCTTATTGAATCCCGTCACCATCCCACATTTTTTATATGTTTTTTATACGGATTTTGCTGACACATACTAGTCTTCTTTGGACATTTTTGACGCACAACTGGATTGACCAAAACCTTTTTTAAGGTTGCAAGTGATTAGACAAACCACTTATTTCTTGGGTGCAGTCTTCTCCTCTTGAGCAACCTTGGCCAAATCTATACAAGATGAGAATAAGAGAATCAGTATACCAATAGTGCACATATACTCGTCCGGTAATTACCATCTTTGGTCTATGTTGGTAAGAAGGAAACATGTTAGAAACTGTGCGGTCAGAGTCGCAACATTGCACCCAAGGAACACTTACAGGCAAAGGGTTCTTTTCAGCAGTTACAGTCTTCTTGAGTCTAGACTTGACATCTCCTGAGGCCAATTCTATAGATATTGAGGTCGTCTTAGTCAAAATCCAGTATTGTTTGATCGCCAAGAACAAGGAAAACCAAATCCAACGGAAATGTGTTCACCTTGAATAGCTTTAGCGTCCATTTGTGATATAGAGATTGAATTTAAGGTTTAGAGTTCTATAAAAATGATAAGGCGGATTTAGTTAGAGACTGTTTAACTCAGGTTCTTGTGTTGTAGTTTAATTTCGCGGCTCGTGTGTTTTTGTGATGTACGAGATGGTACTCAGTAAGAAAGATATTAAAATTACGGTAGATCTCATAGGTCTTTACATATAAAATGCTATTGCTCACCTTGAAACGTTCTGGTTACTTGTTTCGCGTCTGGTTGTAGTTATTACTTGTTTGTTGTGGTGATGGACGAGCGAGGTGCGACACGAGGAATCCACTGATTGGCAGAAAATGTCCACACAAACATCTAGAAGGCCGCTTTGCACAGAATTTAAACATTACGCAGAAGCAGAAGAACGTCAAGAACATATCGAACTCCCTTCAAGACCGAGTATCCACAAAAACACCAGTCAGTACACGCGACTTACAAACCACTCTCCACCCAATTCAACCTAATAAAACGGCAATAAATGGCAACGAGACTGGTGCATCTTGCATTTTATAATTGTTTCAGACAAATCACAACAAAAGCATTTTGAGTCTAGAGCTTGGATCGTTTTACCCATTGCACGATGGCGTAAGTGTAAAGAGCAAGACCGAAAACGGGTGCGACTTTACGCAGACCTGCTACAAGAGCAAATAGCGTGTCCATAACAGGTCCTGGCAATCCCTTCTTGACAAAGGTGTTGACTAGCCAAATCTGCCAAGAGAAGGGAAATTAACACCTTGGGGGAAATTGAAAGATCTGTATAGTATAGTACGTACCACATTTGGCTTGTATGGAGGGAAACGAACACCATCAACACCACCAGCCTTGAGTTTCTTGATCAAAGTTGACTTTTTGTGAGAGTAGACATCGAAACTGAATTTGTGTTGGTAGCCACCCATTCCAGAAGGTCCAACGCCTAAAAAAAATGGGATTAGATTGATTGAAAGCCGAATTGAGACCGCCATAAAACACTTACCTCCAAACGGCAAACCTGGCGTATTTATATGGACTATCACATCGTTGACCAGCGCTCCGCCACTTGTGGTGCTGTTCAGGAACTTTTGCGCCTTCTTTTCATCTTCAGTGAAGATGTAAGCAGCCAAAGGACGATCTCGAGAGTTTATGTACCTAATGGCAGCATCAAGCGATGGCACTTCAATAATTGGCAAAAGAGGCTAGAAAGAATGACGTATTATTATTTGGCGTGGCTCCCTTACTCTCAACCAGTGTTTTTGTTACTTTCTGTTTTCTGCCACTCTACACTTAAAAAAACGACACTACTACATACCCCAAATATCTCCCCCTCCATCATTGGATGAGCAGCAGCATCCAATCCAGCAATATCGACAACAGTAGGAGCAATAAATAAATCAGCAGAATCCTTTTGACCACCAGCAACAACCTTAGATCCAGCAACAGCCAATTGACGTTCCAAGACCTTGTTGAGACGATTCCAGTGGTTGATATTGACGATACGGGCATACGAGTCCGATTTTTGAGCACCTTCAGTGCCAAAGAATTCATCAAACGCTTCTTTGAATCCTACAATCAGTTTCTCCTTCATTGCTTTACTGGTGACCATTACGTAGTCGGGTGCAATACAGGTTTGGCCACAGTTAGACGACTTGCCCCATAGAATTCTCTTGGCAGCTAGCTTGACATCCTTAATATCACTTTCAACGACGACAGGACACTTAAAAAAGTGATTTGAGTCGTTATAATACTTTCAAATTGCGTACACCATTTATTATTACCTTGCCACCAAGCTCCAACAGCACTGGAGTCAAATTCTTTGCAGCAGCACTCATAACAATCTTGCCAACCTGTCCATTACCGGTATACGTGATATGATCAAATCGTTGTTCTAATAATTTAGTAGACTCTGCTACAGCACCGTTTACGAATCGGTATGCTCGTGGATCCAGATATTTAGGAGCGAGCTCAGTCATCAATGCAGAGCTGTATGGAGTCAATTCGGAGGGCTTCAAAACGGCTGTGCAACCTGCGGCAATAGCACCAACCAATGGCGAGGTAGTAAGGAAGACTATACAAGGCGAGAAAGCAATCAGGATTTCAAAATAAATCGTCGCGGTCCAAAGCTAACAGGTCAATACTGTGCAGAATTCCAACATTCAAAACAAACATTGCGGTCTAACACCGAAAGGAGCTGTTCAAACACTTGCCAGGGTAGTTCCACGGGGCAAAGATACAGCACAATCCTGGAGTATCAGGGTTAAACAAGATTAGATACCAATCCTGTTCGCATCGACCAAAATCAATTTACCCAAGGGCTGCTTGCGGATATGTGCACGATCGCCACTCGGAGATTCAACAGGGTACTCATCAGCAGCCCAAGCATCCAAGTTGTTGATAGCACCAACAATCTCGTTTAAGGTTCCAATCGAGTCACCAAGGAGGGCCTCAAACTGTGGGCGATGGAGATCCTTGAATAGAGCTTCTTCAAAGCGCTTCGAGTTCTCGTCGAGCATCTTGTATAGACCTCGTAGTTGCTGTTTGCGATACTCGAGAGGTAGAGTAAGGCCTGATTCAAATGTTGTTCTCAGTTCATCGCAAATCTACATGTAGGCGAATGTTGTTATTCAGACACGTTACAAAGAAAGATCAGGCCAAGGACTGCAGGTATGAAAAACAGAAGATCAATGTCCAGCCTGCCAGCTTCAGTGGCATAAAACCCCTCAAACTTCGAAAACCACATCTCAATTGTCCGACAAAATCAACCAAAACATCGTAGCGGTCGCTTCTAACCTTAGCTATTTCAGACACCGGAGTGTACGTTAGGACGGAGCCTGACATCTTTTGATTGCTATGCTTTTCTGTTGTTGTTTAAAAGTGCTGACTGGCGTAAATGCGTGTCACGAAACAAAGTGGAAGATTTATTGCCCGATTGGAAAACATGAGAATTGTTTGGCAGACAAGGAGTTTATTTGATCTTTTTAACGCATTATCTTTGCCCTTTTGCCTCTTGGCAAGGCACTTGCCATCGATACACCACTTACAACTCGACCTTCCTACAGCCGAGGACTAGCTGCATCCCCTGCAAGACTCAGACCAACTTTCCCATCAATACGCGCCGTCCTGACAATTTCGACTGGTATATCAACGATTCTGGATCTAACCAATTCACCCTAAATCAAACGAGAAAGGGGTCAGTTGAAGAATCTTACAACCATCACGTTATTTCGTCTACCATTGATTTGCCAAGATTGTCGATACGGTTGTTCGATCTAGCACCACGACCCAGGACCTATGGATTCAATAACTGTAAGCACGAAAGAGGGCGATTTCGTAATGTAACCAGAACATACGCCTTTAATCAGCACATGTACCTACAAAGAACTCATGTTAGATGTCTGTGATATTAATATTGCGACAACTTTTCTGACTCACCGCCCGAAGCTTTGGGAACTCGTATCTCTCTATACACGAGAGAGGCAAATGCGAAACCTCTCGCCCGAGAAGCTCATATATCTTCTTGCCAGTCAAGAAGGCTTTTAGCCATTCGTATCCCAAATCAGTCTGAAAGTACAACTTGTTAACTGTTTAATCATGAAGGGACGCTGGTGACAAAACGTACGGTACTCCAGAATCCAATGTTCGAGTTGCCTCCTTTGTCGCCTGCTCGTCCATGTGTTACGACACCAAGCGGCAGCGATACACATGGCCCGAAACCAGTCAGATCACCACCACCTTCAAAATGCGGGGGACGAGGAGCTACTGCAGTGACTTTCGGTGCTGGGATATCAATAACGTGTCCATTCTCCAAAACAACTTTGTGCGGGACCATCGAGTACGGAAGGCCTAGTGTTGGCCAGTACTCGTAATAGAGACTAGGTAATGGGAATCCGCTGTATTCAAAGTACAATCCTAGCATTGTTTGGAATTAGATTCTTCAAGTATTCAAGTATCAGAGATGCAAACATACCTGGAAAGGACGATAATGCAGCTCCCATAATCCTCCTTGAGAAATTAGTAGGATGCAAAGCATCTTTGTCCAACGATGCTGCAGATATCCTAATTCTCACTGACGCCTCATTTTCGTCCTGTGGATCCACTCTAGCAGTACCAATCTTTTCGACTTTTAAATACGTCAATTTATCACGAATGTGGGCTACCTCAGCTTCAGCCACAATCTCCATCGTATCCCGTTTCTCGTCCACATCATATCCACACGCGTAGAATGATATTTCAGCCGCGTATCCCGCAGGTCCATTTATAGCAACCTTGGTTGTTGGTGGTGGTGGAGATCCTTTTACTTCTGATACAAGCACTCGATCCTGACCCACTTGTGTCAGTTTAATCGTTTCAAAATGTGTGGTTACGTCGGCGTTCAGGTATACTGGGCCTTGAATCTCGTATAAAACTTGAGCTCGAATTGTGTCTACGTTAATGGCGCCGCCAGTGTTTGGATGCTTTGTTATAATGCATTCTCCGGTTTCTGAGATTTCTGCAATCGGAAATCCGACATGGCGCATATTGATGCTTCGATCTATATCGGTGAGTCGTCTTGGTTTAAAACGTATATGGCTACAGACACCAAGGACACTCACATCCAGTGAACATTCCTCCACTTGCATGACCACCACACTCGATTATATGTCCAGCAACCATGCTGTGTGCAAGCTTGTCGCAAATATCTGGATCAGTTTGCGTCCAACCATGCCACCATATGGCAGGACCAACGGTCAGTGATGCATCAGTAACTCGAGGACAAATGACAATATCAGCACCAGCTGCCAAAGCAGCAGCTATTCCCCAAGCTCCTAAATACGCGTTTGCGGAAGTGGGTTTCTAATGCGTTGGAAATATTAGATGTCTCGTCTTATATTATCGTCGTACGCTTGATTAAAACTCAAGCTGTTAACATTTAAAGTATCAAAAGTCAGGTCTTGAAAGCGGTTTCGACAATATGAATACATACCAGATTCCACGATGAGATTGGAGCGCCTGTATCCATATGATTTAAGGTATACCCAGCCTTTTGATATGATTCCAGCTGTGGCAAAACATTGTCACCTTCAATATGTGCGACTTTTGTGTTGGTGTGGTTGCGATCCTTTAACATTTTGCGAATGTCACGGGCTAAAGTTTCGGGGGCAGCGCCACCTGCATTCACTACTAGCTTGATTTTGCGAGTGCATATCTCGTCAAGTGCCATAGACAGGCCAATGTTGAAAGTACGGTCATAACCGGCTCCTCCAGCAACTTTGGTTGGTGTCAACACTGCGAGATTGTATTCGGCGAGGTCTAGAAGTGAATTAAAAGAGATACAGTCAACACTGGCCAAGAACTAGATTACAATGTTTGAGTAGCAAAATGTCGAAAACTCATACAGTCACCAATCTAAACAAAGTCACAGTGTAAGTAAATTCAAGTCTGAATTGAACGTTTTGAACTTACGATCACATCAACAGGACCTCCAGTCGCCTGCTCTAGTATTGCAGTTGGTCTGTCCCACACTATGCAAGTTTAACAAGTGAGAAACCCTAGAAAGAGCTGTCTTATGCTACTCTTACCCCATCCAGACGCATTCGCAATGATAATGGGTCGTTTTGGCATTGTTTCAACTATTAGCCAGAAGTAACTTTGATGTGACGTCGAAGTGGATTTTTGGAAAAAGTGAGTACAAGACAATCGGGAGCGATCGGGAGTTTGTTGGACCAAACATCTCGAAAGTTCGATATGACAGTATGAGAATATTGTGATTCTGAAGCATAGATCTGTTGCGGCTACCTCGCAGTACGCCCTTCACTCGCAGGAGCGTTTTGCGACCACCTCAGTGAGGAACAAAAAGTTTGACGTTAACATTGGGGAAAGCAAGTGCACCAGAGACCTAAATATCATTTTAGAGCTCGTTATGTACAGATGTAGCTGAGTGCGGTTGAGAGAACTAGTCGTCTCTGAAGGTAACTGCGAGAGCAATAATTGATGTCGACTTTCTCAGTTCTCCATCGTTCCTGGTTTGTTATGGAAGATCACTTCCTACAACCTGTTTCCATGGGTTGCGACTTGATGCAGACGCCTTTGACTTGTTGATCTTGAGGTGGGTCCGTGAACAGCTTGTCAAATAAACTGCTCTCACAAAAACAGCCAGAGCTCAGAAAAAGCAAGTTTGAGCAGGGGCGACATGACGAGATGTCAGATCATTTAAAGATATATGCAGATGCACAGCTTGAGTTGAATGCCTCTCTTCTGTCTTTGCATTCCGATTTCTACCGTGCTAATCAAGGTTCCACCAAGCTGACGACTGCCAGAAAAAAACCCAGCACAGCACAGTCCAATCCAATTCACCAAGACGCTGACAATCACTAGGACTAGCAGTTACTCCCATATCAAGACTACGTAATCATATAGAATGTCTCCACCAATGCCAACTGGTAAAGGAGGAAAGAAGGACTCGGCTACTGCCAGAATCGCAGGGTCAGCTACTGCAGGTTGGTCCCATTGTTTGCCATGCTCTCGTCCTTATTGCCTCTATTATTGCTGCCTATCTCGTACTTATCGTCTATACATGCCATCGTTTACTGACTGCAATCCATCAAACAGGAATTCTCGAATTGCTTGGTTTCCACCCTGTAGACACAGTCGCAAAGCGACTCATGACAAATCAGGCAAAGGTAAAATTTTCATACATGGAACCTCCTCGCTTCGCCCCTCGTTGGGTTGCGGATTTGCTCTGTAGCATATCTTTGTTGCTAATTGATTATGTGGCAACTAGCGAGTTTGAAAGCCAAATGTTTGAACGTAACGCTTACATGTACTTTCTGATTAGCCCTTTGCAAATGGTGCTACATTCGGTGAAGGCATGAGCACTCTCAACAAAATCATCTTCAAAGTATGTTGGTTCTATACTTGCATTTCGCGAGCTGTGACTCACATCCTTGAAACCCACTCCTATATTCACACATATACACACTCTAGAATGCAGCAGACAAGGGCTTCTTTGCCAAATGGGGTGCTCTCTTCCCAGGTCTGGGATGGGCTGCTGGATACAAGGTTTTGCAACGAGTCTACAAGTTTGGTGGTCAACCCTACGTCAACGACTACTTGAACAAGTACCACAAGTCTACATTCGAGAACTTGTTTGGTGTTGGGACTGGAAAGACCATCATGCATGCTACTGCTGGCAGGTAAAAAGAAAATTGGAATTCTAAACAAAAAACTACTCAAAAGGACCAAAACGCGTTATCATGGCTGCAATCATCCTGACACTTCCATATTTCTATACCTCTTGATACTTAGTTTGGTGGGCATTGGTGAAATCGTCCTGCTCCCATTGGACGTCCTCAAAATCAAGATGCAAACAAACCCACAATCGATTCAAGGAAAGGGTATCATGGAAATCGTTTCACAGGAAGGAATGGGATTATACAGGTATGTGATAGAACAAACGAGTCAGTAGCTCATTACGACAAGCTACCCGTCATTTGTTTTGGCGATCCTTGTCATTCTCGACTAGAATCTTACCGAACCCGTCAAACCCAGGGGAGCAACATGGACCGCCGCCCGTAACGCTCCAGGATCATTCGCACTTTTCGGTGGTTCAGCAGTCACAAAAGAATATCTCTTTAAATTGGACGACTATTCTAAAGCTACATGGGGTCAAAACTTTGTCGCTTCTATTGCTGGTGCTATTTCTTCGATCGCTGTTTCTGCTCCTGTACGTTTATGGATTCTGAGCAAAAAAACCAGAAGGAGTCTCACAGTATGTGTTAGGCAACAACTCACCCCCTTTATTTGTGTATTTAGCTGGACGTCATCAAGACCCGTATTCAAGCCAAATCAGCAGCTGAAGCTGAATCTGGTTTAACCATTGTCAGCAGGATGATTGCCAAGGAAGGATTTGGGTCCTTCTTCAAGGGACTTACACCAAAGATTCTGGTTGTGGGTCCTAAACTCATCTTCTCCTTCACTGTGGCTCAGAGCTTAATTCCATTCTTTGGTGTAAGCATTTACTCATCTTGATTTCTGGTTTTGTTCTTGTGTCGAAATCGCTTAGATCTCACAATGTTTTCTACAATTTTTAGCAACTTTTGGATAAGCCATCCACACCAGCAGCTGCCAAGGCATAGAGTCGAGGCCCTCCCTGTTAACGCTTAAAGAAGAAACAAATACTCATCGAATCCTTAAAATTGTAAACATCTTGTCCGATCCATCACCCACACGCCTCACGCATATTGTAGTAAGACTTTTAATAGACGCATGAACGAAATCCATAAGTTGTGTTATTGCTTTTATTTTTGGGATTTGTGCGTGGTCGTTGTTGTTGAACTTTGTTTCGCCATCAGATATGGGAAAGAAAAGTCCAAACAAGTATAAGCAAACAAGCGGTCATCTAATCTTCAATGAATGCTTCTTCACTAGCCATTGGTGAAGGGTCAAATTGTCCCTCGGATTGGGACACTGTCTCCCTCTCTCTGACTCCAACTAATCTGTGTAAGCTTCCACCTATCTACAAATCTGGTTAGATGTCTGTGACATACAATCCTTCATATTGTGACAACTTTCGCATGCGTTTTTTTACCTTTCTAAAATTCAACTTGCAGCACTACCACGTCCTCGAAACTCTCCTCGACCTCTGCCGTCTCCTCTGCCTCTACCCTCTCCTCCACCACGCGAGGATCCACGTTGACCGTAACCACCACCTTGTGCATTGCTACCACGACGTTGCTGATCACCTCTTCCACCCCCACCAGCAGCAACGAAATTACTATTATTACTTGTACGGAATTCTCGAATGCCTCGGCCACGACCTAATCCAGGTATATACTCTGCCTGAGGAATACTATTATCATCTTCAAGTCGAGTACTACCACTTGAAGACTGCTGGTCTTTGAGTGACCCCCAAGATCTTGCATTCTCAATAAAAGTTTCTTCTCGTGCAGCATCAATCCTCCCACGTTCCTCGTAGTTGAGAACAAGCTGCTTCAACAGCCCACGTTCTTCCTTTTCAGCTTCTATTTGTGCACGAGCAGCTTGTGCTAGTGATGATTCGGCAGGTATTACGAGTGATTTACTGGTGGCTTTCGTACCTCGTTTGACAAGCAAGGTGAATGCTACCTGGTCTGGATTCATATTGCCTTCTTCTTCTCGTTTCATGGCGGCGGATTTGGCAGGGATGGGTACATCAAATGTAGGTGGTCGAGGCGCTGTTTTGCGAGACTCTAGTGAATCCTGCATCATACGACTAAAGTCCTTGTCGAATTCATCATTGTCTGGATCATCTTCCATACCAGTTTCAGGCATATGTACAACGACATCTTCGTCATTGTTGTCCTCTTCATTAAAGTCTTCTTCTTTATCATCCTCTTCTCCGCCCTCATCGTCATCATCTGATTCTCCATCCTCATCTTTATCGTGGTTGGCATGACCGACGCCTTCTTCCTCTTCTTCCATTTCATCGTCTGGACTAGATACAGCGATTTCAGGCTGGGACGTCTGTGCAGATCCGACTCGCTTACTATATAGATCTTGTACAGCAGTCAATGCTTCTTCATACGAACTATAGAGTCTACGTGATGGTCGTAGCAGTTCAAAGGTTTCGGCGACTAGAAAGTCAATGTCTATAGGTGCTTTGGCCTTGCTATTAATGTACAGCTGTTGGGAAATGGAAAGAAAAGTGTCAGCCTTTTCAGCAAAAAAGGGAAACAAAGGATGAATACATACTTGGAGGTATGTGAGAAAATCATCAAGTCGACGTCCAGTAGGGCCCTTATCAAAGTATTCGCCACATGTCTCGAGTAATGTACAAATCAAGCGAACTCGGAAAAAGTCGTGTGGAGCATCAAGAGGATTCATAACACCAGGTTTGACAAATCCTCCTTCTGATTAAGCAAGACGGAATACGTTCAGTCGTACATGTGGTTCACAAAGTCCACATGCAACACATACCGTGTCCATAAGTCATCAATAGAAACAAGGTATCAAAGATAACAGGTGAATCCAACATATTGTAATTATACAATTCACCAAGAAACTTGACTACGGCAATCCTTCGTTGATTCATCTTAAACAGATTGGTTTCTAAACCCAATCTGATATCTTCAAGAGTCGCATCAATCACTCCAATTCCGAATTGAGGATAGTGTCGCATCAATTCTGAAGCGAGAAAGGCCACAAGATGCAGATTCGAGAATTTCACTTTCCATACTTTATGAAATACCTAAGGTGATTGTGGCGATTGTGGAGAGTGATTTAAGCAAAAAATGAGATAAGTATACCAGTATGAGGAGTTCCGTACCTTTGTGATGCAAGATAGATGCAATGGATCATTCCAATCCAGCTTTCGCAGCTGCTTTAGGACTTTATCGACATTCTTCCTATTCAGATCATGATAGATGACTTTCCGAATGTATAGTTGTATAGGTGGCCGTTCCTTCTTGACAGCGGCAAGTCGAGTAGGAGGATTACAGTCGTAATAGGCACTATCAATCAGTGCTACTTGGCGGGGATCAACAATGACGGCAGCCTTCTTTTTCATCATGATGTCCAGCTATAACAGCGGAACAAATATGAAAATCTCCCCAAGAAATTGTTAATTGCAATGTACTCACATAGGTAGCCATACGAGGACTGGTTTCATGAGACCGAAATAGGAAACGACCACAAGATTCCAGGAAGATGCACAATAATTCCACATTCTCACCGACAAAGACATCGAGAAGGGACTTGATATAGTGAAATGCCATATGTGGAGGTGCTACTTTGAATTTTACCAGTTCTGCCATATATCGAATGTTCTATTATTGGAGGGAGATGTTGAGCAAAATACTGGAGCAATAAATTATAAGCGACTTCGTTTTTTCGCTCGCCTTGGTCTTTTCTTCCAGAAAACCATGATCCTTCTTCTTCTGACTGAAGCGAAACTGCTTCTCCAACTATGTTTAACAATAAGTCAGCCAAAAGCCATTATATTAAACGGCAGGACAAGACACAAACCCTGTCGAGCACTGCTTGCCCAATATCTGGCATATAAGGTAGCAAGGTAGCCGCAAACCTTGCATAAAATGGCAGCAAATCCAATCTTTGTCTTGATACAGAGTTGAGATGGGTGGCTACTTTGCGACGAGCCGTCTTGGTGTTTATAAAGCAGAACTCTACAGCCAATGTGTCTATTGCCTCTCGATTCATCGGTTCAGATAAACGAGTGATCAACAGCGCCAAGGGCGCTCCCGATGATGGAGCAGCAGTAGTAGTTGCGGATTCTGTTGCAGTCTCTTCTTCTGTTGCAACATCATTATCTTCTGCATCTATTTCAGTAGGTTCTGGAGTAGTGGTCTTTGAACTGCTACCATCGTCTTCTTTTGCTAGAGCCTGTTCAATATCTTCAGCAGTTTCAACTTTGGGTTCTACACGTTCACCAAGTAGTACAGGAGGTACTTTTGATCTCAGGTCTACTAAGTCCTCGTAAAAAGACTTGGATTCTTCATCTTCCCAAACTCCAGTTCCTGCATCTTCATCGTCAGGACGGACTGCCACTGTTAAAGTAGCCCCCGATCCTCCTAATTGAGATGAGAATACGTCGTCTTTTGGTAGATCTGGCATTTCTTGGTCTAGGGCATCAGCTAAAGCTTGCACTCCAGTCAACAGTCGTTCATAAGTCTTCATATTCTTTTCAAAACGTTCTTGACGTTCTTCTGAGACTTCGCCTCTTGCAATTAAGTGTTCTTGATTAGCATGCTCCATCTTCCTTATAGCCTATTTTGACCTTAGAAGTGAGCCAAAAAGGAGCAAAAAAGATCGTCTGCGAAATGGGTCATTGTCTTACTTTGTGACCTCGGACTAAATCCTTTTCAGCTCTCTTGAAGTAATCCAAAAACAGACTCTTTATGATATTCTGTATGTCTTTTGGCACAAATATGTCGTACTCTTGTGAAGTCTATGGGAATTGATTTAGCGAGTGAACGAATTTCACTCCAACTCAACGAAAAGGACCGCCAATCTACGGACCTGTGCAGTTTTGTCAGCTACATCCTCTTCATCAGTATGTACCTTTGGACCGAAAAAGTATGGACCGAATGCTTTGGCAAAAGTTACAGCCAATGTCAAGTTGGCATACCCTTCCTTATCACTGGAAATCTACGATAGAGCAGTGTCAGCACCGATCCCAGATAAACTCTTGCAGTTAGTAATTACCAAGTCCTTGATCATCCGCGTCATGATGGATTCTTTGGCGTTGGGTGCATCGACCACAATACCAACCAAGTACAATTCCGTAATCAAACGCATAGCACTCCTTTGCTTGGCGACCCGACCCGATTCTTCACGTTCCTTTTGTTCAGGCGACAAGTTTGCAGTTGAAGGAGGAGGACCAATCTGTTTGACGAGGGAAGGTACGAGTTCAGGAGTAAAGTCCTTGAATCTCTGGTGAAGAAGCGAGCATATTTCGACGGCAGCGAGAACATCGGCAGCGGTTTTGAATCTAGCTTCGGCGGCAATGGCAGTAGCTATTTCACTAATGTACTTTTCCAGTTTGAGGGAGGTAATATCTTTTATGAGAGCATCGAGCTGATCAGCGACTAGAGATGTCTTGAGCTTCTTAATGAATGCGGTGTTTTTCTTGATTGATCCATCAAGATTAGCAAATGTTGATGGGTCTAATAACGGAAGCTTGTGTTAACCACAAATGTCAAGATGTTTGGATGGCAAGCTTAAGATGTTGGAGGTCATAACGAAAGAGACAATGCAACAGACCAGGACGAGTTTTGGTAGCATCTAGATTCTTTGCTCGTAGTTCTCTTTTGTGATGAATTCCTGATTCGTTTTCCTTAATTGCCTAGAATATAAGGATGGTGAGCAAGTGAAGCTCGAGAACATATATCTGAGTGACTTACTGCATCCGACATTTACCGCCAATACTGTTGACACCGATCTGGCTCGCTGAGTCGTCGAGTTTCATTCCAGGTGATTCTCGAAGTGACAGCACCGAACGAAACGTAACCAAGTACGTGTTTTTGATATCAATTTTGTTTGATTGACACGTGAATAGCGAATAGATGTATCATCGCGTTTCAATTTGAAAGTCGACGTGGTGGGTGTTTTGATGGTTGCTTCGGAAACACACCCACAGTGGACGAGTGTAGATTACTGATAGAGAGGAAAAAGAACTGTAAAATGGAACTCTTGAGCCTCTTATCATCTAGTTAATAGTGCATCCGCTTACTCCGAACGGCTTGTTTTGCTATATAGAATCCTTGAAATCAACCCGAAACCCAAACCAAACAACCAAACCAACAATATTGGAAGTATGGGCAAACGCAAAATCGTCTTTCAGCTTGGACGGGAGGATGCTGCTCCAGTGACGCAGAAGCAGCTACGCGCCAAGCAACGAGAACTCGAAAGTTTGGAGATCGCAGGAGAATACAAGGAAGCCATCAAATGTGCTAGTTGGCTAGCAGAAAAATACAACGAAGTCGCTGACACCAGACCTGCTTTGGAATCGGCTCAAAAGACTCTGCAATTATTAACTCACATGAAGGGCGACTCCCCCTTCAAGACACGTATGCAGTTGGTGTAAGTCACTGATCTCATTCCGAATTGTTGATCTTGATGACCCTTTCAAATCTATATACAGTCTCGATATGTAATCACACTATACTCAAATTAGAGCACTATATGAGCAAAGAAAGGCTTACTCCCAGCAAGTGATGTGTTCGAACGAATTAGCCCATACCCACACATCCTAACTCTTTTTCATTTCCTAGTTCTGACGATGCCGACTTTTATCGAGCAAGAATTGCCGCTGGTCATGACTATTTGAAAGCTGCTGAGTTGTCCAAGAATAAGGTGCTCTCAAAAAATCACTGACACGTATCATCGACACGCAACATTCATACCTTGCCACCTTTCTAGGAGGACATTGTCGAAGCCCTTGATGATCTTGGGTCTGCTAACTTGCTGATGGGGTAATAAGACGCCAACTTTTATCGTCTAAGATGGTACTGAGTCTTTTGATCGACACGACTAGAGAACGGATGATGGACTCCAGTTACATCGTCGCTCGACAATACTTGGCAGAGGCTCGCTCATGGATGAACCGACATGAACCAGAGTATAATTCCTTCAAAAGTAAACTATAGTTTTGTCACTTGCAAATTGAAATGTGCTCTCAGAGTAACACGTCACGCCGTAGGGACTGACAAGTGCAAGCTGTCTGATGATGAGAAAAATGCAAGAGAAATCAGAATGACCTTGCAAAGCGGCATCGCGCGCTTGTACCTGTCTATTATCGACAAGGAACATGGCCACATCACTGAAGCTACCAACCATATGAAAAGTGCAGAAAATGCCTTCAATTATGTCATCCTTGATACTACATGTGAGTATCTATCATTGATTTTACGCTGTTGAGATAGTTCTTAACTCGTCCCTCTTGCTTAGGTAACGATTTACAACTGAAATTCGATGCAACTTACTATTTACGCCAGCTCTCCGTGGTTTGGTATGAGAATGATCCTGTTCATGTGGACAAGGTACCTCTCAGAATGAAGCTCACCACATTTAGAAGCTTGGCTAATTCTCGTACTTGAACTAGTGCTTTGATAGGGAAAACACTTTTGCTAGAAAGAATAGTAAGCCCGAGGCAGCTTTGGAATCCCGGATTCAACAAGGTACAGTGTAGTCGTCATTATAGTCCAATTCGTGACAAACCCTTGTTGACTGGTGCGTTCATTGAGTAGCTCGCTTCCATGGCAAGCTCAAGGATTACAGGAGGGCCGCACAGATTTGCAAAGATGCACTACGTAAGTGGTCTGCATTCTTGGAGATCCACCCTTTTTTGGTTTTCATGTTTCTGAATGTGTCAACTCCATTAGAATACTGCCAGAACCAATCTCTGGACCAGAATCCAGTCTTGGACTTGCGCAGAGAAATGGAAAAGATGGAAGGCGATAAAACTGATATCAAAGACTTACGACAGCGTATTGACAAATATCGAAAAAGCAACATGCCTCAGGATTTATACGCTGCTCTCGTTTCTATTGCATCCAAAGAAGTGTAAGTGCTTAGCGCGTTCCGGTCTTTCTCTGTGACTATGAAAGTCATTGATTGTTGATTATGGATTAGACGTTCTGAGGCTTGGGCTGATGTCATCAATGATCTACGAGAAGCCATACAATACACCACACATGGAGGTCCAGGAGCCAAAGCAGCAATCGCACCAAAACCAGTAGAATGGGAAAATATTCAGTTCTATTTCTGTAAGTGCTGAATCACCCATGCCCTGCCACTTGCTTGAACTAATGATTCCATGATCTCTGGCTTTTCTCCACTAGTCAAGGCATACTCTGGGATGAAGAGAGTCAAGGAAGCTACTGAATGTGGAGAAACGTTTCTTCACCTTACTAGTGCCTCTAAGCGTCACAAAGAGCGTACTGAAGTTGCAGTCAGACTGATTGATCTGTATGCATCCAATCAAGACGTAGGTTGTCAGTTGAACGCGTTTATAGAGCGCCTCCAGCAAATTCTAACCAAGGGTCTCAACACTTGGTGTAGCTCTCGAAAGATAAGCTGATTAAACATTCCCAACTTGCTTTGAAACTTGCCAAGAAGTCTAAAGAGCCAGCACGTCAAATCCAAGCTTGTGTGAAACTCGAAGGACTATGCATGAACTCTGATCCCTTTCTTATGGCGAAGTATACCAAGAAACGAAAGGCCTTGGAAAAATTAGGCGATGAGAATGACGGTGATGGAAACCACAGTGACGCTGGCTCTGTCGATGACGACATGTATGTAAGTCCTGATGATCAAGTCAATGAAGGACTTGAAGAGGAAGAGGAGGGAGAACTTGGTGATGATGAGGTACTGACCAGCCCTGATGATGAGAAGGTATGTTTTTTCAGTTTTGGAACCCGCCTATCTTGACCCATTTCATCTTGATTCTGAACACATTTTATTCATTGCCAGCCAAAACTCAAGAGGCCTCCTCGTTCTGACCGAAAAGCTACTCAGAAACGAGCATGGCAAAAGAGATCTGATGATGAGCATGATGATAGATCAAGCAAAAAGGCTAAACAGGTAATGACCATCAATTGGATTTAAGATGAGCTTAGGCACTGACGACTTTTCTCTTTAGCACGATTCGAATGCAAGTGAGCCAGCTCCAGCTCCAAAGAAATTCCACACACTTGTAAGTCGTGGTAGAAAATTCTAAGCAATCCGATGAATCGGTAACCAATTAGAATACAACATAGGCCGACTACGACGACAATATTCCAACCACCACGACCAAGCCATATCTGATCATTGATGATGACGAAGATCTGGCTAAAGTTGATAGTGACTCCGAGGACGATCTTTCATTTCGGTCAGCAAAACCCGCAATGCCAAAGCCTGCTGTTGCTGTCGATTCGGATAGCGCTGACGAAAATGTGCTTGGAAGACGTAGTAGTCGAAGGAAACGCCCTTCGAAGCCAGAAGCATTGAAAGCCCTCATTCAAGACAAGGAGAAGAGGTAATGAATGGCTTCTTGAAGTAATTTCATTGTCCGTATGTCAAAAAAGTCCTAAAGATTCTTCATCTAGCAGGAAGAAACGGAACCGAATAATAAGTGATGATGACGATGATGAACTTCCTCAGAAAACACTTTCTCCCAAACGCACCGAGGCTGTCGAGCCTATAAGCATATCATCTCCACCTGAACGACCATTGCCTCCTATCAACCATAGATTAGCACCACCGCCACAGCCAGCACTACCAAGTCAGCCAGTACGAAGAGCAGCCTCATTGAACAACAATGCACAGCTGGATCGTGGTAATTCTGTCAACAATATTGATCCTGAATTTCTTGAAGCGTAAGTTTTCAACACTTTTTCTAATGTTGCTGAACTTGAACGAGTAACATAAACCCTCACATTGTTTACCTTTTCCCTTAGTCTTTACAATGATGACTACGTTCCAACGCAGCCTTCTCCTGTCACACGAAATCAATGTAAGTCTGTGTCGTTTCCAGCAGGGTTATGGCGTCCTGTTACTGATTACCTATTTTTCACTTTTTTTCAGCTCAGCTTTTGGTTGATCAGGATGTCTATGTTGATCCTCCACCACCATACCGAGAAACACACGTCAGCCGAGAACTGCCACCTGTAGCATCATCACCACTTTCTCCACGTCATATGTATATCGCACCACTTGCAGTACCACAACTACAAGCACCAGTAGTACCTGCATCAATACCAACTCTTGAAGAAAAAGGGATGTCCACGATTCCAGAGAGTCTCAATCTCCATGAGCAAGGAACTAATGGACTCGTCACCGAAGAAATCTTCATGGATGCTCTTGTGTTGAAGACACCCAAGAAGAGAACGAAGGTATTATTCTAGCATCAGTTTTGTCCTTTCTTGCCTCCATCAAATTAGTGCTCACCATAAACAAACAATTTGATGTGATATAGGAAGGCCCCGTAGTGACAATAAATACTGAAACACCATCAGGAGCAGGAGCGAGCTTTGAAATAACAATGACATCAGGGCCAAGTGGTACGCCGAAAACAGTTCACTGGTTGGGAGAACAGGTGGTGCGAAAGGGTCGACTAAAGGGTCTCAAAATTGAGAAGCTGCTTTTCGGAGATATTGTATTAGATGAAGATGAAACATTAGCTAGTCTGATGGATAAACCGAAACCTGTTGTCAAAGCTTTCCTGTATTGATACAATCACTGTATTGAAATCATCCACAACTCATAATTCCAAATGTACATTATTAGTTTTAAGTTACACACAAATAATCAACAATCTGTAAGCATGATATATATTTCAGGCTTCCGTCAAAATTTGAAGCACATGTTTACAAAACGCTTCTTGCGCCTCCTGAGTACTAAGTTCGTGATCTGCATCTGGTATTATTACTGCAGCGACGTTCACGCCTTCCTTCGTAGACTTGGTCCATCGTTGCAGCAGCATTTTGGGGTCGACAGATGGTGGGACGTACTCGTCGGCTCCAGAGAAGCAAATCCCAACATTCACTCCGGCTCCTAGTCCACTGAATATATTTATAAGTTCAGCATCTGTCAAGTCACTACTAAACATGTCGTCAAGTCCCAATCTCGTTGCTAGAGACAAATAACGCCCTGCTGTCATTGGCGCTATATCCACATCTCTCGGTAGCAGATCATGGACATTTAATGATTTGGCAAGGTGCACGTATTTCGTAGTCTGATCAGAATTGTCCCTATTTTTGCACGAGTTAGTTAGCGCCCTTTGTTCGCACGTTGCTTCCAGCACACAACTCACCACATGAAGAACTCACGATCAGAGACAGCACCTTGTAACACGACCGCTGATATCCTTTCCGTATACTCTCCATGCTTCATATAGTAAAGAATCTGTTGGCAACCAGTCGAGTGTCCAATCAATACAAGCGTGCCAACAGATGACGTGTCCAGCACGTGCTTAATCAGTTTGTCGATGTATTTACAGTCGTTTGAGAGTGAGGATATGCCGTATTGTAGGTAGCTCGATGGTAGTATTGGTTGGATTAGTGAGTAACCGATGGATGCGAGTTGTTGAGTTAGGAGTGGGAGGTATGGTAGTGCGTTGAGACCATCGGTGAGACCTGGAATGAATATGGTCTTGTTTGGTAATGAGCTGTTGCTCTAGTAGATGTGTGTTGGTGAATGTGATGTTGACCAGATTTTGAAGCCGAAACAGCCAGCCGAATAAACAGAACGAAAGTATTGGTAAATTTACCTCAAATGCCACGTATCGTGATTCCGAGTCATACGTAAAGAGCTTCCCTTCCATGTGGTTGGACTTTTAGCTACTCTCAAAACATACGCAAACTAGAAAAAGTTCAACGATGACGATGAATAATACAGTTAGCTCAACGAACATCCAAGTGAAAGAACGTACAGAATCGTATCTAGACAGGAGTATCTACCTTCAAGTGATTGTTCTCGACAAACAAATGATCTGTTATTGTGGGGATGATGGGCGGCTGGGAAGTTTATCAACTGCAGTCAAGACACGTTATGTGAGTATTTCATGATCGCGGTCAGCTTCGGTGAATCGTTTTCGATGCCGTCATTGTGCAGGGTGACTTGATATTAAAGAAATTAAACCAATTGAACGTGAATTTGAACATTAGAGCAATACAGCTGCTGCAACGACCTTATTGTCTGGTGGAGTGGATGATACGAGTGAAAGTCTAGCCAAGAGGCTCGGTATGTGGAAATCACAAAGCTTTTTACGTTCAAAAAGCTGAAAAGCTGATATGGCTTCGCGAAAAATCTAGCTTCGAAATACGACTGGCAATTCTTTGTATCAATGAACCTGCCAACAAACGATACGAATTTGACTGTATTCGCTGAGAGGAAACTAGGCGCATTCGTCAAGGAAATTGCTCAATCATCTTCTTGACCAAAGACTTGTAATTATAATTTATAGCCAACTGCATATACACTATACTACAACTAGTATTCGTCATACCATCATGTCAAATGTGCTTTGGTCTTGCATGCCTCGGAAGTGCTGACTCTCGTCGAATGCTAAATACAGAGAGAAGAGGACGTGGAGAGATTCAATCGTGTGTTTGGATCTGTTCTTGCTCTGTGATGTATACACGGGAATGTCCATGAGGGCCAGAACTGTTTTACAATAGTCTGCGAGGTCTAAATCAAGGTCGGGCGTTATCAAGGCTTGTATGGCGGTCTGCAGCAGCTCCTTTTCGACACTTCGTGGCCAGACTTGCATCAGGTCCTCCTACAAACAGCTGCATCAGTTCTGATTTCAACTTGGGAAGCTTCTTGCATCACGTACCTCATCAGGCATTCGTTTGGAATAAGTCACGGCTTGAGCAGGTTTGTTCTCATGCAATGCTCTTATGCCAGACACGTACTGCTCCAAGATCTTAGGGTTGGATCTCAACGTTTGGCCATCAATGCTATTTATGATTTGAGGAGTCGTCGTAGATGTGCCCTTTGAGTATGCTCTCAGCTGCAAGTCCAACACTTTAGGGTCAGTCTGCTTGATACTTGGTTCATCAAGCACTGTAAGACCCAAGTTTCGTTGCATTTGTGGATCTGGACATGGGATCTACCGCAAACGATGGTTAACGTGACGGTTCTCTAACATGAATTTCCCACAGATCCCCACTTTGATGAAAGGATCGATATCTCCTATTGCCGGCAGGTATTCAGGTATAAACGGCTTCAATTTAACGTCCAATTCAATGTCTTCTATCTTGTACTCTGAGATGTAGCCGAGCAAGATCCGAAGTTCTGCAGACAGTGTCGAAGATATGCTTCCTCGAGCTTTAGGGATCTAAGCATTCATCGAAAGTCATTGGAATTTCCCTTTGAAATTCAACAAATCCAATATTGCGTCATACATAGCGTTGCTTGTCAAAGTTTTCGTTTCGTTGAATGTAATCATCTTCTGAATCTGATGTACCCCACGGTGGTTGTGGTGATTCGGAGCGAGCTGACAAGGATGGATCAGTTGAAAATGTGTATTTCACTGCTATTTTCAGTGCCAAACGGTTCATACCAGCCGGAGGCGTGTCAAGGTGTCTCTCGTCATCGTCATCTTCAAAAGGGAAGTTCTGCAGGTGCAAGCAAGGGTTAGAGGGATAGGTCCTTGGCTAACTCAATGAACAGTATGTACGCCTTACATTTGACGTCATTGTCAGGTTTGTTCCGTCCTGTTTCAAGTGTATGCGGTGTGGGGATGTCAAGTTTCATATTGCGTTCGTCCAGACAGCTGGACGGGAGTGGCAGACACGGCAGAGCTAATTGTTTGCCGTGTAATGTAATGTTTTAATGGATTTTGATACGCTGACGGCCTTTTTTATTGGTGCCAAAATGATTCGGTTGTCGGCAAAAATTGCTCATCAAGACTCGATGAACATTTTTCGCGCTATGAGAACGTGTAGTTGAAATTGTGCGATAAATTTATGGTTGAAAGGCTATTGAAAACAATATTCTAGTTGTGCCCATGAGCCTCTGTGCTTCTGACCAGAGGATATGTGTGAGGAGTCAACACCACAATAATTATTTTGTCAACATGATACAGACCCCAGTTGTGAAGGTTACGAGCTTGGATGAATTTATTGGAAATCCCATACGCCGCTATTGCCTTTTCTGCGCCGGAGGGTGGAGTGTATGTCCAGGTATGTTTGCATGTGTCTGTGTACATGTGAGTCAAGAAGACAAGAAACACCCGCAAGTTCTTATTGGTTGAGAAACTTGTAGAATGAATTCGGCCAAGCTGGCACCCGACCTGTACCTAGCCAGATACATGTATGGTAGAGCACGTCAGAAGGTCTACTCAATAACTCATCGTCCCTACTAAGATACTCACCTACGAAAACGGTTTCTGCTGGTAGAACCCCTGCAGGAGGCTGATCTGGTATGTCTGATCTTGCGCAATGTTTTGTATATTTATGAAGCATATCAGGCTAACAGTGATTAATATGGCCCAGAATCTTCGCCGCGTATTGGCGATTATCCAAAATCCCAAATTCGGAGTAATTGACGCATTTTTGAATTATGGATTCAAGAATCCCACGTACAACAGCACCATCGAATTTAAATTTTACACAGGCACAACCATCGAATCAATATGCATCACAATATCCTCCACAATTGCCCATTCCAGGAAACAACAACAACCAATTTCAACAACAGTACCAGCTAGAAAATGAAAACCTGTGGAATCAACAAATATCTACTAGTGAAGTAGTGCCACGGTTAGCAGTGCCAGGAATATCAACTGCAACATGGATCGACTATCCAGAGAGCTCCAGAACGAATGCTCCAACACCAACGTCAACGTACCTGACAAGATCTACTACACCATACTCAATGCCACCGTCTTCTGTTGCTCCAGCTATACCACATTGGGCAAACAGCATGTATTCATTGAACTCGACACCGTCTATTACGACAGCACCAATAGATCAACATACAGTGCATCCACGACTTCTAACGTCATCATCACTGATGCACTCAGAGCCGGCTCTAATATGGCACGGTAATATGATGTCTCAACCGTCATGGAGCAACCCAAATAGATCCGACACCCTGTATAGTCCTCCATCATCGCTTGCACCAGCAGCTTCTAGAGCCCCATCGGCTCTCGCTCAAGCAATGGCAATCAGCCAGGCACCTAGCCCATATACCGTCTCACCTCACCTATATTCAGGAACACCTTACTCGTCAAATTCATTCAATATGCGGTTAGTAAATAACCCCATAACCTCTTCAGCTCCACCTATATTTTCGATGCCCGAACCTATTAAACCAGCAGCAGTATCACCGACATGGATTAGTAAACCACCAAATAGATCTGTACCGAATTCTCCATATCCATCGTCGTCTTTATCGTCGTGGCCAATGCAACCACCTACCTCTACTGCATTCTCTCTCTTACCATTTGCAACGCCGGCAACATCAGGCCCAACAGTCAGCACAACATATCAAAAGGAGCCAGAAAGACGAGCACCGGTTCCACAGCATACCACTCAAAACATTGCTAGTCCACCTGATATCCAACAACATCAACTTCGAATTGAAGTCAAACAAGGTATGTTAGGGCGTTTATTGCGGTTGCTGTCGCGGTCTCGAAATTGTCACCCACAGATTAAAAACCTTTGCCTAATAGAACCTGTTGAGCTAGTGAATCAAACAGCGATTTACAATCCAGAGAAACCTCCACCAGTCAGTGGGCCGTTGGATACTGTATCAACCGTAAATCCAACGACAATATTCGGTAGCCCAGCTTCCGAAACACCCAGTCCTGAGGGGACCACAGAATCCCCATCTGCTAGTATTTCTCCAGTCAAGGAACATTCTCGAGGAAGCTCTGGAACCGTGTCAAGAAAACGACGATCTGATCCCTATCATGATGGTACCGAGAAGGCATCAAAGTCGAGACGGACTAGTTCTACCACAAAGTCATGGACGTCTCCCCGTTTTGCCAATAAGAAAGTACCAACGTATGAAGAAGATGATGCAGATGAGGAGGATGAAGAGGATGCGGATGACCGTTATAATGAACATGATGACTATAAGGCTGAACCGGATGACTATATGGATGAAGGAGGGACAGTCGTTACCAAACGTGAGAGAAATACGGAGGCAGCCCGTCGATTTCGAGCTCGTAAGACGGAAAGAATGCATAATCTTGAGTTGGAGGTGGTGCGGCTTGAAAACTCAAAGATTAACGTAAGATGTATTTTGGTTTGGGACAATATCGCTTTCAGATCTAACGCAATTAATTTTTTCAACTTAGCTATTACGGCAGATAGAAGGTCTTGAAGCAGAGAAGAAACAGGCAGTCGTCACAGAAGCTGAGTTGCGGAGACGAGAAGCTGCTTTAGAGCAAGAAATTGCCGAGACTTACAAAGAGTGAGTTTGGATTCTCTTGAACGTTCATTCATCAGAATGTGTTGGTATTGTGCTTTAAGACGAACAATCATTAAAAGTGATCTAGAATCATAATGTTTCCTCACCTCACCACATCATTTTAGGATTGTCACAAAAGTTTCGAGTTTGACAGGCGGAAGTAGCAGTATATTGACGCCTGCCACATCTACTTCATCATTGTTTGACAACACTGGTCAACAATAGTAGTAGTAGTCTGAAAAAGCGATCCGAAACGTCTGCCACCAAAAGTGTCCAGGTCATGTACATATTCGACAGTACGGACTTCAATGAAGCTATTTATAACTTGTGATCATGAATAATAATCTTCCCTCTCTTGTATTTTCTCCAACACGTGCGGCGACTTGCTTGCTGAATCTTTATAATCGCAATCACATTCTTTGAAGCACCATGGCGTCCAAAGAGTGGCTTCCGCCAAATTTCTACAAGGAATACATTGCCGAAGCTAAATTGCATAGAGAGAAAGTCATTGAAAATCTGGCCTTCAAAGAAGGTGCGGCTGCAGCCAGGATTTTGGATTTTGGTGTTGATCACGATACAAGCTAGAACCAAGTCATCCATGTAGCGAGCATTTTCTTAACAAGTTTCCTCAATTTTTAGGATCCGTGTATCTGAAAGGGTAAAGCTTCCTCCGTGATCAGCTCGCTCTTGTCAACATTTGAACTGATTTTGAAAACTGTCAATCGCAGAAACCCTTCTCGTCTTCGCAAATGGAGTGACGTGGAAGAGATCTTTCGACAAGAATCATTCTTCTACTACATAACGGGCTGTGAAGAGCCTGACTGTCACGTCGTGTTGAATATCGCAACAAGGGAATGTCATCTGTTTATACCTAAGCGAGAAGCAGATTTTGGATTATGGAATGGCACACCGCCGACTCCGGTGCAAGCTAAAGCGACTTATGATGTGGAATATTGCCATTATGATGACGAGCTCGTCAACGTGTTGAGTAGTATTGATGGCCCTGTAAACGTCATGGACGGTGAAGACATCAAACTCCTGGGTGTCGCAGCTGATCGAGCTGAATCTAAACATCTACGAACAGCAATGAGTGAAGCTAGGTTGATAAAGTCTGCTTTTGAAATCGACATGATGCGTACCGCTGCCCAAATATCTGGACATGCTCATATAGCTGTCATGAAGCTAATGAAGAGTCTCAAACCCGGTGTCGACACTGAGGTACAAGCACACGCTCTATTTGAGTACGAGTGCTTCAAAAAGGGGTGTCATCATCAGGCATATGGGTCCATCTGTGCTTCTGGATGTGATGCAGCTACACTTCATTATGTACGAAATGATAAAGTCCTGTCAACCGATCCTGGCACCTTTCTGCTGATAGATAGTGGATGCGAGTTTCATACTTATGCCAGTGATATAACTCGCACGTATCCAATTGGAGGCAAGTTTTCCGCTACAGAAGAAGGCACAATTGTATACAATATTGTGCTGGCTGCTCAAAAGGCTGTACTCGCTGTCATCAAATCTGGTATAAACTGGGAAGACATGCATCGATTAGCAAATCGTGTGATTTGTGAAGGGTTGCAAAAGGTATGTCTGAGGTTCATATGTTTAATCACGGCAGATCTAGCTGTCTGACGTTTTGCTTTCGTGGTAGACTGGAGTGTTGAAGGGCTCAGTAGATGAATTGATCGACCACTTCATACCTGCCCTCTTCTTCCCACATGGTTTCATTCTTTTTGAAAATGACTTCAGACGCCAGTTCCAAAGGTCTAAGCAGTTTCTCTGATAGGTCTGGGCCATCTCTTAGGACAGGAAGTCCATGATGTTGGAGGATATCCCAAAGGCACTGAGCGTATAGACGAACCTGGAATTCGATACCTACGTATGAGGAGGAAGCTCGTCGCTGGAATGGTACTGACAGTAGAACCTGGCCTTTATTTTATTGATGATCTACTCGAACCAGCACTGAAGAATCCAGAAACGGCAAAGTACTTTGATGTTGAAACTTTGGAGCGCTTTCGCCGTGTTGGTGGTGTCAGGTATGTGGCAAGTGCCTCTTGCGTGTAAACCTGAGCTCTAAACGCGAAAATCTTGTTAGGATTGAGGACGACGTGGTAATCACTCAGGACGGTTACGATAGCCTGTCATGTTGGATACCAAAGGAGATTGCTGATATTGAATTTGTAATGGCAACGTAATTATGCCATTAAACATGTACAAAATAATAAGTTAGCAAACAAGGTCATATTACCTAGTGTTAAGCCAGTCTGTTACAGCTTTTATACGAATGGCCGCACCGCATTCACCACGCCACCACTCACAATCGTTCTCGTTCTCTAGTACAGCCCGTCACCGCTATTTTTCATTACACATCAAGAATACGAGGTCGTAGATTATATCCATGGAGGAATTCATCAGGCAAAAGCTCTGCATGCACAAACACATCTGAGTTTTGAGTGCAAAATGAGGAGATTCGACCTCTCGTTTTTTGATGGCTAATGATATACAAACAGGTTGCGCAATTGTGTTGTTTTATGAATTGTTTCTAGTTTGCAAATTTGGCCAAAATTTCGGTTTCCTTGAAAATCATGAATTCGTCGGCACCGAGTTTGATGGTGTTGCCTCCGTACGGTGGCAAGAGGATGCGATCGCCTTCTTTTATCGACATTGGTTTGACTACACCATCCTATAAATGCCAAGTTAGATATAAGAACAAAAACAAGGAAGATGTCTGTTGGATATTCACCTTGTCTGGAGCGCCTTGACCTACAGCAACGACCAATCCTTCGTTGAGGGTTTCTTGAGCTTTTTCAGGAATGAATAATCCTGATGCAGTCCTCTACAAGTGATGCATCGTGTCAGAGAATTGATGTTGCTGATTCGATGCCTTTGAGAGCTTCTCCAAGATCAGTGTTGATTACCTCTGCAGCCTTGACTCGAGTGACGAGGATACGGTCGAATAGAGGAATGAGTTTCTTGGAAGCCTGTGTTTTGAAGCAAATGTCAGAATTGTCAATTTTTGCGAGCTTCCTGTAAAGGTTCAAAAGAAAACATGGAGGCCAAAACGACAGTCACACCACAAGCGTAGATTTAAATGGACATCAGTTCATACAATGCATCATCACTACCTTACCATGACTTTCTAACGCGATTAAGTCTCAAGATTCACCGTTCCAGATGTAGTTCGAATGGCTCGGTTCGATTTTTTTTTCGACATGGAAGATTGAAGAACACCAAAGTTTCGACGTGTCAACTGTAAACAACGAATCGGTTACTATATATACATCGAAATGCGTGTTGGATCGGTTGCCCAATGCAGTAGTTGCTGTGCTTGCGTCACGAGGAGCGTTGGCGTCCTTTTCACCGGTTTGTTGCATAATTACAGGCCTTGTAGATACAAAAACACGAATTATCACGTAGAATTCCAGATATACTCGTATTCTCCATCGATCCATTATCTTGCTCTCCCCGTTTTACATTCCATCGTCTGCTGCATCTCTCTTTTTTTCTAAGCCCGAAACGCACTTGTCAAGAAAACTTGCATTTCAAACTCTTCATAGCTAGGTAGAAATCCAGCCATGTTACGCGCATCAAGAACCATCGCATCGCGTATACCAGCATCTGCCTCTCTCAGAGGGACCACGGCTACCTCGTCCTTACTGGGTCAAGCTCAAATTCGAAACTTTGGAAACCACAAGGAAATAAGCTTTGGACAGGATGGTCGTGCTGCTCTCGCTAAGGGTGTCGATATTCTAGCTAGAGCTGTTGCTGTTACGCTTGGTCCAAAGGGAAGGAACGTGCTCATCGGTATGTGTATTGAGACATTTGGGGAAAAGGTCGATGTGTTGAGAGCTATTGTCGTTTTTGGATTGGTTGTTGGGACAGAGCATCCATATGTTGTCTATATGCCTCTGTCATTGTGAAACTAATGTAGAACTTGGATGATCTTGTTTTGAACGACTTTGTGCTTGACAGTGATCCAATCGACAAAAAAATGGCAATCTAACTCCTTTGACTCTACACTTATAGAGCAACCTTACGGATCACCCAAGATAACAAAGGACGGTGTAACTGTAGCCAAAGCTGTCGTATTAGAAGACAAGTTTGAAAACTTAGGTGCTCGTCTGGTCCAAGATGTAGCAAACAAGACCAACGAAGTCGCTGGTGATGGTACCACTACTGCCACTGTACTCGCTCGTGCCATTTTCATGGAAGGTCTGAAGAACGTAGCTGCCGGAATCAACCCAATGGATTTACGAAAGGGTGTCCAACAAGCTGTAGACCAGGTCGTAAAATACCTAAAGGCAAACTCCCGAGTCATTACATCCAGTGAAGAAATCGCTCAAGTCGCTACCATCTCTGCTAACGGTGACAAACATATCGGTCAAATGATTGCTCAAGCCATGGAAAAAGTCGGCAAGGAAGGTGTCATTACCGTCCAAGATGGTAAAACCGTCACTGATGAATTGGAAATAACCGAGGGCATGCGATTCGATCGTGGATTCATATCTCCATACTTTATAACCGATACCAAAGGCCAAAAAGTCGAATTCGAGAAACCATACATCCTGTTATCCGAACGTAAAGTCTCGCTCTTGCAGGATATACTACCAGCCTTGGAAATCAGTGCTCAACGTCGTCGCCCACTATTGATTATCGCTGAAGATGTAGATGGTGAAGCTTTGGCTGCTTGTATATTGAATAAATTGAGAGGTCAAGTCCAGGTCTGTGCTGTCAAGGCACCAGGCTTTGGTGACAACCGAAAGGCCATGTTGCAAGATATGGCAATCCTCACTGGTGGTACCGTATTTGCTGACGAAGTTGATCTCAAACTCGAAAAGGTGAGTTTTTTGTCTGTTTGCCAGCGGTTGCGTGTGGATTTGAACAAGCAAAACAGCAAGGACTGAACTATATCGAATCTCTAGTGCACTCCAGAGGACTTGGGTTCCGCCAACACATGTACCATCACCAAGGACGACACCATCTTCCTAAACGGAGGAGGATTCAAGGACGCCATCTCCCAGCGTTGCGAACAACTCCGAGCACTCATCACATCAACCACATCCGACTATGAAAAAGAAAAGCTACAGGAACGTCTAGCCAAACTATCCGGTGGTGTCGCCGTCCTCAAAGTCGGTGGTGCCTCTGAAGTCGAAGTCGGTGAAAAGAAGGATCGTTTCGTAGATGCCTTGAACGCTACTCGTGCTGCCGTCGAAGAAGGTATTGTACCCGGAGGTGGTACCGCTTTATTGAAGGCATCAAAGACTCTATCTACCATCGTGCCTGAAAACTTTGATCAACAATTGGGTATTGATATTATTAAAAAGGCGATCTTGGCTCCATGTAAAATCATTGTTGATAATGCTGGTGGTGAAGGTGCTGTCGTTGTTGGAAGACTCTTGGAATCGTACAAGCCTGCTGCTAGTGCTGATGGTAAAGCTGAAGGCAACTTCAACTGGGGTACGTTAAATGTGATGGGGAAAAAATATTTCCTGATGCCGTCAAATGAAATGTCTCACCCATTTTTATACACCCCTCTACATTAGGTTACGATGCGTCAAACGGTACATATGTCGACATGATAAAAGCTGGTATCATTGACCCACTGAAGGTCGTACGTACTGCCTTGGTCGATGCTTCTGGAGTAGCTAGTCTCTTGGTCACCAGTGAATGTATGATTGTGGACGCACCAAAGAAGGACGCTGGTGGTCCACCAATGGGTGGCATGGGAGGAATGGGAGGAATGGGTATGTAGCCATTCTTTGATGTTGGGTTCCTTCGTTTTTTTGGGCCACTCCTGCGATGTAAAGAGACGAATCAGCTAACCACAAACACCGACATTGCTTTAGGTGGAATGATGTAAACGTGGAGAATTAGGAAGGAAGGCAAAAAGTTTACAGTAAAGTTGGCATCGCAAGAAAGAACTCACACTTTAAAAAAACACAGTTTTGGCTTTCAAAAGGGCTATTATTGTTTACAAAAAACTCTTAAAAATAGAATCACATTTTCATTTTGCTACATTTGGGCTTGTCGTGTTACTGGTGTCTGTGGTGTTGCTCGAGTCCAGCTCGACAAGGGTATTCAGTATGTTGGTCGAGTTACCCCCAAACTTGTCGATGACGTCTTGCAGAGATATGTACAAATTTAGGTTCTTTGTGATTTCCTCCTGTTATGGCAACGGATGTCAGTTTGACATCAAGTCAAGCCATAGAAGGAATCTCTTACTAGGAAAGTGGCGTTGCCCATGACGATGGGTCCTACTACCGAAAACATGACGTCTGAATAGTTTCCAGCTGCAATACTGTCTGTCGCATTAATAATAGCAATGTCGGATTGGATAGGATCAATGTACTTTCCCGCAGAAATCATGTGAATCTATAACAAGTAGCAAGATACAGGATTTGTTTTAGCTTGTCAAGACAACGCGCTGAACTCGAAAGTCTTTCTTTGTCTAAACGTACCGTTTCAGTAATGTTATTCAACTCAGCAGGCTCCAACGCCAGGCGACTCATCCCGACTCGAGAAAATGCAACGCCATTAACACCAAGGCCAATTTCGACTTGTGGCATAGTTATGCTCAAGACTGTAGGATTCACAAAGCCAACATTGACTGTAACGTTGATGCTACTATTGCCATTCCTGAAATCCCTCAGCTGCAACAAAAGGCCAGGGAAGTCCATTATTTGCAAGATCTGATCTGCCGGATACACAGACGTAATGTTTGTGGTATTCTTGGCCAGCAGCTGTGGTGGGATGGTGGTCGAAGTCATAAAGTTGGTAAGGTTGGACGTTAATCGTTGTGTTTGAGCCACACGGAACGTTTTCGTTAGCAGGAGGTCTTTATATATGGGGATGCCAAGAACTCGTATAGTCACGTTCGCCTATTCATTTAAAATGGGTGGGTTGCAAATGAGGACCATTCAAAGACCTCGCAAATGTTACAAATTACCTCGCCGGTAAAAGTCGTAGGACCAAGACCAGCTGGTGACGAGAAGGCAGTTAAGAGGTCTTGCAGCTTGGATGTAGCGACGATTGTAGCGTTAGAGCCGAAATCCGCGGGAAATGGTACATCCAATCTCAACATGAAAGATGGGAGCTCTGTGTTCATCAACCTTGTGGTGGTCTAAGTCGTGATATAGACCAAAAGCGTGAGTTCGGCCGCTTAAAATCCCATTTGTCTGCTCACCTCTCCGACGAGATTAATGCCAAGGTTGGTTGAATCGATTGATGCCCAAATCGGAAGTGGCAGCAAACTTGGTGCGAGAGCTTTAACATAGTACGAAAAAGTGTTGTTATCGAATCCATATACTTGAATCAGGTTTATTTCAAGTACTTCTTCAACGGCTTCGATCTGGCTCTGAAGAATCAGCTAGCAATGTGTGGGTTTGGTTAGCCTAAATGGGAAGCAGTTAAGTAGTATGGGACTAGATCTTACCGGTCCACAGAAAAGATAGAAAATAACTCCAGTCAGCAGCAACGTGCATACCATTACTAGAATGCATAGGCAGACTTCGAATCTGCAATGAATCTTGTAGGCAGGTCTGTCCGCTTCTTCCAACTCAGTTGATCTCTGTTCTGATTCTCTGTTCATGAGCACGGAGCCTTTTCTTTGACTTTCCAGCAATGATTCCTTTGGTTTCCTTATGTTGGTTGCCGTATCAGAGATGTCGCGGACTCTGAAACGCAAACGCAAAACAAAGGACTTGTTTCATGTTATTTTAGACCTGGTTTATAACCGTTCGCTGAATAAAAGCAGTCTCAATACGCTTTCGTAGATAATAGACATCTGTTCTTATATACGACCATCTCATAGCGTCCCTTACAGAACTCTAACAATCGCTTTGCGACCATTCAGCACAAAAACACCAAAAACCGAGAAGCCCTCCTCAAGACCGCAACTCGCGAGCCCAACGAATTAAGGTATTTCAGTGATGGGGTAATCACATGCATCGGGCAGCATGACTCTTGGTGCTCGGTTTTTGAGGGTATTTTCACCGCAGCTCGAATCAAAGGTTGTTAGAGACCTTTTCTTTACGTGAAGTCTCTATTAAAGAGTGGGATGTCGAAAAACATGTTCAAGCATGGCTTTCTTAACTTTAGCGAGGCCTCTGGAAGGAACGCTGTTTCTCGTCCGACTGCAGGCAGCACGGCTTCACCCCCAACATCAAAGAAATCATCAAAACGAGTACACTGGAATGCGCCGACTGAGGAGCCAGAAGTGTCAACGCCGCCACGGATTAGACGATTTAGGTATACATACAAGCGTTTGCTCGAAAAACAAGTCGGTCAGTGTTGGTTTGATTGACTGCTAATGACAAACATATTTTTCTCGGCGCAGGGATAACGAGCTCGCCGCAAAGATTCAGATAAATCGTGACGACACCAACTATCTACTCAGTTTCAGCATGCCGGATGCTTCGACGGAATTCTTGCCACCATCCCAGACTAAGAACGGAGCCACACACGAAATGTATATCAACAAGACCCACAACCATTTGTGTTGGGCCGTGAATTTCCCACCTACAAAAAATCCACTGGAGCGTCCGGAACGTCTTGCAGTTGAATTTTCAATCAATCGATTTGGACTTTCGATGGAGAGGGCTGCACTCCGTGAGAAGGATAGCTACTTTTTTGAGCTGCATGCTGAAAATGATGTATGATAGTGTGTTGTATGATTATTGATCATTCGGTGACAGACTTACTAAAGTCAATTCCGTTCTCTCGTTCCAGCTCTTAAAACTAATCTTAAACACAATCCAATCCGACGACAATGCCAAACGAATCTTTCACCACTCGTCTGACGCAGTAAGATGGCAGGGCATACTATCCATACGAGTGGGAGGTGGAAAAGGGAACGGAATGCCACAATGGGAAACCGGTGTCAAGATGCTTACTACAATGAGCGAGCGACCGATGGACATGAACACTCTTGGAATACTCGCTGATCAGGTTTCAATGGATGCGCTAGCGACAGATGGAGAATCCATGGATATGCAGGATTTTTATGACGATGATGTGGTTGTGCCTACATCGTCTAGCAAGAAGCCAATGCCGACATGGATTAATAAAGTACTTGATGCTCCTCAAGTCGCATCACCAGTCGAACCTGCCGTAGTTGCGCCTGTAGTGACAGAACCCGCTGTACCAGCAGCACCAGCAGCACCAACTGTGGATGCACCAGTCACAACCGTACCCGTCACGGGAGCTGCCATAACGGATGTAGCACCGATAGTCTCGCAGCTTCCCGCTGAAGGTTTTTCAACTACAGCTCCAATTGTCTCGCAGTCTCCCGCTGAAGCTGTTTCAACTACAGCTCCTTTAGTTCCCGAGGCAACACCCTTAGTACCTACTGAAAATACGCCGATAGTACCATCTTCTGAAGCAGTCGAGTCTTCTGCAGCACCACTTTCACCTAAATCAACCGAAGTGTTGCTTGTCGTAGAGCCAAATCTACTCGTGACAGCGTCTACCACAATATCATCAACTGAAATCTTGCCGATCGTAGAGTCGACCCTACTCGCGGCGTCTACCGTCTTGTCAACCAGAGCTCCCTCGTTGACAATAACCGAATCTGCCAATCTACCACCATTACCCAAACTAGAAAAGCAAACGACAAAACAGCGGGGCGAAGAAGAAGTACAAATGGACTCGATGGTATCCCAGTTTGTCGTCTTTTCCACATCTTCTTCCAATGCTAGAAGGAGGAGTTCAGACTATTACGAGATGAAGAAGTGGTAGTGTGTAAAAAGTCATCTCTCAAAGTACATAGTACCAGTCGTACAGAATGTGTCTTTAAGAAAGTAATATTTCAAGCTTTTCAAAGAACAATCTAATCAATATATCTCCCTCAAACATAACTCATTTGGCGTATCGTTTCACATTGTCGTTCAACCATTTAAACACTGATGAAAAGTCCTTCTTTTCAAATCCAGGAGTGGATGCGACCTGGTTGTAGATTTGCAGTGCAGTGGCACCTAATATTACTGTAGACTTGATATCATTGGCGGATTGTACGGCTAGACCAAGATCTTTGGCCATGAGCGAGTTTCCGAATCCTCCTTCATAGTCACGCGAAGCAGGTACACCTTCCATTACACCAGGACATGGATTATATGTGTCTGTGGACCAACACCTACATTAGTTGACGGTTCGCTGAATATTGCAATGTATAGCGAAAAAAATGTACGAAATGATGCATTACCTTCCACTAGAAGTATTGAGCACTCCAGCCAACAATTTAGGATCCATACCCAACCTAACCCCCAGATTCATAGCTTCAGCAGCTCCAACCATCGATATTCCCAACAACATATTATTACATATTTTGGCAACTTGGCCAGACCCAACAGCACCACAATACACGATATTTTTACCCATAAGATCCAGATACGGTTTAACGATATCAAATTCCTTTGGTGATGCAGCTCCAACCATAAACGTCAGCGTAGCATTAGCAGCTCCCATAACACCTCCGGATACAGGCGCATCGACCATAAGTGCTCCAGCTTTCGTAACAGCAGCCCCAACATCTTTACTAGTCATGGGATCAATCGTGCTAGAATCAATATATATCGTTCCCTTCTTCAGACCCTCTAGTAACCCTTTAGGTCCCAAATACACTGCTTTTACATGCTGTGGTTGAGGCAACATAGTGACAATGACATCACTCTTTTCAGCTACCTCGCGTGCAGAGCTGGCTACTTGGACTGTCCGTGATGAGTTCTGGGATACGAATTTTTCAAGGACGCTTGGAACTGCGTCGTGGATGATGAATCCTGATGCATTTGATTTTGTTAGGAGGTTGTTCGCCATATTGTAACCCATTTGGCCGAGACCGATGAAGCCTATTGTGGGCTCCTTTTCTACATGGTATATACGAAATGGAGGTGATGCGGTTAGCGAAAAGGATGCATGCAGAACGTGGAGTGAAGCGAAAAATTGCTGGAAATGTTTTGTGCAATTTTTAAGCTTGGCGGCTTGGGAAGAGGAACTTACTGGTAGCATAGCTTCTCCTATAACATGTCCTTTGGACTTGACACGTAACCCTCCACGCTCTGTTGTTCATGATTGCGTCTGAAATTTTTGTGTCTAACAAACTGGAGCAATGTGAGTCAAGGATGTACGCGTCCGATTCTCACAGAGTATTCTAAAGCGAGAACTCGAAAATACAACAATTTGCAACGTATAAATACATTTATAATATATATTTTACAATTTGCGGCTGCACTAAACGGGAGTACGAGACTAAATTTTACACAACAACGATCACGAAGATTTTTTTGTTTTAAACAGCCCAGCGACACCTTTAGGTGTGGTTCTGGTCTTCGCAGCAGTCAAAGACGTGCTCCTAGGATTCGTGACAATCATCGAGTCACTTGCTCTCCTAAGCTGATTAAACGTTTGATTCTGTTCAGCATCGTCCAGCCCTTCAACTACATTCTGCCACGCTACACTTCCAGGCCCAAGAAGCAGATCAACTGATGCATCGGACGCAGGAGATTTCGGTGGCAGTTGGGGCGGACTGTAGTCATCTACATTATCAGCTCTTGATGTTGACGGAGTATCGAATGGAATGACTATTCTGGGCGCCTTGACGGATTTGCCACTAGCACTACTTTTGACACCATTCGAAAGGACGACCCCAGTTGATGGTACATATGGACCCACTAGTGTTGAAATACCGGTGGTAACGGTGGGTTGTAGTGGTGATGTCGAGTTCCTGTGCTGTTGTTGAGATAGTGTTGTTACGGATGGTGATAGGGAATTTCGTTTCGATATCGAAATTCGGTGCAGGAATTGTGGTGTTGGTGGTGCTAATATAGTTAACGATCCTGGTGTCGACGCTGGTGCTTGGATGTTGAAAAGAGCGTCCAATAGTTGCTGTCTGTCCTCCTCGACGAGAGTGAGTTTTCTTTTGGAGAGTTGCAAGTCTGTGAACACAGTTATATACTGGTCCTTGGTGGCATTATGTTTCTCCTTTTCGATCTGCAACTCCTCAGATACCGCACTAAGCTGGTTCTGATGCTGCAGACGCAAAGACGCTAGCTGAGCTTCTAAAGACTTGACCTTAACGACATCATCACTGTTACTATTTTGATTCGTGGCTGGCTGCTGCACCACTACAGATTTTGTATTTGATGCATTGACAGCTGCCGCTGCGACGAGTCTGTCTCTCAACGCTTTCGTCTCGAGTTGAAGAGCTTCCTTAACTTTTGTTTCCTGTTTCAACGACTCAGTCAAAGTCTCGATCAGCTCTGTCGCAGACTTGAGCCTTGTTCTAGTATCAACCAACGCGGATGCCTAAGTGGCGAAAAATGTGAGTAATGATAAAAGGATCACTCAAACAGCAGACCAATTTACCTGAATTTTTATGGCCTTACTCAGACGTTCAACCTGAAGTGCAGCTTCAGATGCGGTATTAGACACCGGAGGAGGCTGAGCACGAAGCTTCAACACCTCCGCTTCTAACGCACGCGTTTTTCCAACGGATTCATTCAAAGCGTTCTCCAGCCGCTGGCGTTCTCCTCTCCACTCAGACTTGATTGGAGATAAGGGTGGCGACGCAGGTGACCATTCATCGTTACCGTTGGTTGTCACCTGCCTTAACTTCTGAGTTTCGATACGTGATGGATTATTACGAGTTAGGATGGGGGAAGGTTCTCTGTAATTAATAGAAGGTTGGGTTGTTGTGGCAGCAGCTGCAGGTGGAGCGGTAGGACTACTCCTAGTACTGATGCTTTGACTCGGTATGGTTGGAGCTGTGGGTTCAAATGGTGATGACTTAGTAGGACGAGTTACATCGACTGATACAGCGTCGGTAGGCGATGGAGTAGTAGGCGGTTTACCATTGCTAGATACGGGTTGTTTATATATCGTTTCCACAGGACTTACTCCGTCCACAGGCCGCGGGTGAATCGTCTCTACCGGACTGCTATCCTTTGAATGTTGTTCGACTAGTTCTTCAGTCGGTGATGGTTGATCTTTGACTTTTGGTTTTGAGGAAAAAAGACTCGTGAAGGACGAGAAGAGGAAAGCGGGTGCTGCTGTATCTGGCGTCGTCCCTGATGCTGGTGATACTAACGCTGCCAGCACCTCTGGTCGAGTAATTGTTGGATTCTTAGTATAAGGATCAATCCAATCTATCACTTGACTTCGACATGGCGAATCTGGTGATCCCAGACAACCTAAAACTAATATATTGCTTAACAGGGAAGTCGTGAGTGAGCAGTGCAATCTTGAATGTCTCGTGCCCTCCTGTTTGCATTCTCTGTTGCGAACGTACCATTCCTTGGACCTCAGGAGCGACGACAGCACTTTCGACCAACTAGAATCTTGACTATGCTGATTTGGGCTCAATATACCAGTTTCATCGATGATGTTTTCAGATTCTTCATCACTGGCCAACATGACAAAGCCCATTCTTCGTGTCGAGTTCTCCAGAGTAATGATGAGATGAGGCATATATTCGTCTGTTAGAAACCTGTATAAATTGGCCATTGCTGTTTCTATGGCTGACTTTGCCTCTTCTTCAGAAGAAACGTTCAGCGTTACAACCTTCTCAGGTAACCACACACTATCAGAGCACTTCAATACTAGTCTAGAAGACTCCTCTGGATCTGAGAAACAGTCATCCACTGCAGCGGTTTCTCCAATTCCACAGATGCTGAATGCTTTGATACCGACTTTGTGACCAGAGCTGACTAACGATTTACAGGCAAGGAGACATGTCTCATAGATAACTACTCTGGAAACGTCTCCGGATAAAAGTACTAGGTCGGTGTGGTTGCTGGCAATGTGGTCGTAAAAGAGCTCTTTTGTGTTTTGAGCCTGAGAGAGAGACCTGTTTTCCAGAGCAGCAAGCTCTTGTGTACAGAATAAAGCGGTATTGATGTTGTATGTAGGCATTGCAGGTGCCTTTACTAGGAAACGATGCTCTAAAAGGTCAGAAATCAAGTTGTGCGTCGGTGGAGTTTGAACAATCAATCGAGCAATCGAGAGCCACACGAAACAGACCAGACAAACAACGTGTTTAAATTGTATCAAGGATTTGTAAATACATTCACCATTTCGATCATTCTTTTAGCCTCGTTTACTGAAATACAAAACGTTAAAAACCGTCAGATTGAGCGAAGCTGTACAAGGTCTAGCAAGCTTGTTAATGTCAGCACGTCCGTCCGAACCAACGAAGGCCTCTGCTGATGGCATTTTGAGACTTCCGGTTGTTTTAGATGTCGCGGGCATTTGAATCACGCTTGAATATCAAAGAACGAAAAACATTTTAAATCAAGGACGAGGGCAAAGGCTGGAACAAAGGAACAAGCGACTTTCTCAAACTTCTTTTCAGGAGTATAAGGAGGTTACTTGGCAACGTTTAAGATCCCTAATTGACTTGTAATTGCCCGTGCCAGACTTGTCAGAGGCAAAACCTCGTAAACAACTGACTTTTTCCACCACTCACCATCTAATCGAAAATACACTTACACACACCAAATAATGCTCGACTCGTCAAGGGATAACCTAGTATCGACCATGCACCGCTCAAATCGTGCTCATGTAAGGCCTTCTCCATATCCTTCCCCATCTGATAGACCTCGAAAGGAAGAGATTCTAAATGGTTCAAAGGCTCTCGGCCCACTCCCAACAGCAGCAGCAACTCAGGAATTGTGTAGGTTGTGTGGCCAGCCCGAGGGTAATCTACATCTAGAGCAGCCAACCACGGTCGAAGATGCCTCTCATGGTCACCTTCCTCCTCCATTGTTTGATGCCACACACATGATCACGAGCAGCACCTCATTTAGGCTTACACACACACCACCTTCACCGTCTATAAGTAATCACTCTAGTAATAATCATTCTTTAGCCAGGACGTCAGCGTCACCGTCGTCGCCCGTTGCAACGACTGCTGAAGAATCGGTGTTTGCCCCTTTAGTAAATCTGCCCAGTCTCCTCACACCATTTCCATCGCCCACCGAAGAGCTTAATCTGTCATACGAAGAAGAGGACGACGAAGAAGACTACTATCTAGGTCCGGAAGTCCTCACAGACGAGATGTCCAGGCCATATAAAGGTATGGAGCGCGTATTTTAACACTACTGAGTATCTCACCTAACCGGATCATCGATCCAATAGGCAGCGATCCTGTAGCACCATGGTTCCAGGTCAACACTACCGGAGCCGTAAGCAGTCCACAAATCAGCTCGCCTGTAGGATCACCAACCGTTGCACACAAGCCAGAAATCAAATATATTGGTGGTGGTGCAATAGGGCAAGTGTACGCATGGACACCTATACCAGGATTTAGTGTCGCTATAAAGAGAGCTCGGCTGGCCGTACCCTTCTATGTCTTCCAGGATGTAGTCGCTGTATTGGAAAAGATTGATCACGAAAATGTTGTAAATTACTTGGGATCTGGTGGTGACGGCGGGAGAGAGACGTATGTCTTTATGGAGTATTGTGCAGGTGGATCGGTCGCAAAGCTTTTGGAGAATGAAGGAGCTCTCTCTGCTAAACGAGTCGCTTGCTATACGCTTCAGGTCTTGTCTGCTCTCAAGTATCTTCATACGATTGGGGTGATTCATCGAGATCTAGTAAGTTATACCAATCATTACAACATCAAAAAAAATATAGCTAACTAAATATTCGCGATAGAAACCACAAAACTTTGTCTTCATGGATACAGAGTCGCACCATCTCAAACTCTGTGACTTTGCGGTAAAATTTCAGACAAGCTTACTCAGAAAACATGTGATTGTTTGACTGACAAATCCATTCGCCCCTTTAGTCATCTATGGTGCAAAAGTATAACTGTGGACGAAGGCCTCCGTACATGCTCGCTGGAACACCACACTACATCCCACCAGAAGTCATAACAGCCGACAATTCTTCCAAATGGCGTAGAGGAGCTCAAGATATCTGGTCTCTAGGACTATGCGTCATTGAAATGCTCACTGGATCTAGCCCATGGAGCGACTGTGATGCCGAATGGACTGTCTATTTTATTCTCGGAGCTGGGTATACCGAACATTGTCAACATGCTAAGAATTTAGGGGCCCGTCGTCAATCTCTACCAGGAACATATCAGTGCCCACATCAGCGCAAGGCCTCCGTTGCCGGCCTAGAGTTATCCAAACCTCAATTGGATACCGAATCTGTTACAGCAGTGACTCCTTTAAAACTGAATGCCACTGAAGTCTTTATGGCTACCGCATCGGACTGTATGCCTCTACTTAAAACAGCTGCCGCAACTGGTAAATTTGATGTTATTAGTATGGATTTTGTCTCTAAATGCTTGAAATGGTGTCCCAATGAACGGGCAACTGTAAGCCAGCTCATGGCTCACCCATTCTTGAAAATCAGACAGCAGTAATAGTAGGCTGGACGCCGTAATCAAAAAATATTTTGTATTCTTCTTTTCTGTAATTTCCTTCTTGTACACTAACGTAAAATGTATGTTCGCATTCTCTTCAGCTATTAAAAATTGATATAAAACAATCATACGCGTAGCTGAACTGTCTTGAGTTTCTACAGTTTGTTATGATGTTGCCAAACAACTTGGCAACAACTACATCCTGAACTTGGCTTGCAGAGGTTGATGTTTGTGCTGGCAAGGTATGCAGCGTTGAGAATTCATTAGCGGTCATCATTCAATGCGACTCAACCTCGTATTCTTCTTGTCCTAACCCCGCATCAACTTGCATTTTGCAGTCACTGGATATTATGGCTACAAGAGGACAAGCACCAGCTCCTAGACAACCTTCAGGCCCAGCCCCATTTTACGCATGCTATTTACTATCCTCTCTGGACAAGCATTGGAAGAATCACTGCTATGTTGGATCGACTCCAAACCCTTTACGACGAATACGACAGCATAATGGAGAGACAGCTGGTGGTGCCAAGAAGACTGAAAAGAAACGGCCATGTAAATGATGAATGGTATTTTGCATTGTTACGTCAAATCTGACATGTTCTTGACGTCAAAAGGGGAAATGGCACTCGTAGTTCATGGCTTCCCAACGAAATTCGCAGCACTACAATTTGAATGGGCATGGCAGAATCCACACTATTCTCGACACTTTGAACGTGGAGAGTATACACGTGGTGGCAAGAATCGATTGTTGCCTGCTAAATTAATAGTCATGGCAGACATGATTGGTCGAAAGCCGTGGAATCGGTGGCCATTGACGCTGCATTTTAATAATTGGCAAGTACATGCAACGTATAATCAGCTTGGTATTGTGCCTCCTCCGCATGTTATTATTACTTTGGGAAGCATGGAGTCGCTTGAGCCTTTGCTTGTTGACAATGATGGTAAGTCGCTGCAATGAGATTGGTAAGTATAGATAATGTTATTTTAACGCTTCTCTTTGATCAGAAAACATTGCCAAGTCTATGACTCAGCTGACAGTCTCCAAGAAGTGTAAATTGTGTGAAGAGGAAATCAATACTACCGTACGTCCACCTTCGACATACGAATAAAAAAAGCATTAAAACATTCATTTTGAATAACATTGGGTACGTTAGGCACAAGCATATGGCACATGGCTATCATGCTCCCACGAAGGCTGTAATATGATTGCACACGTACTCTGTCTGGCTCGTCGTTTCCTCGAAGCAGAAGAAAGGTCATCCGCACCATCAGACTTTAAACGATTATTACCAGTCTCTGGCACATGTCCCGTATGTACTGGTGCCATGCGATGGGGTGATATCGTGCAGACTATGGAAGGGAGGGTTCGAACAACAAAACCTAAACGAAGAGCTACCAGTAGAGGGCCCAAACCTGCATCAGCTGCCTCTGAAGAAGAAGACGAGGATGAAGACGAGGAGGAAGATGATGACGACGAAGAAGACGATGATAGTAGTGAGGAAGAATCGGACAGTGATTTAGAACCGCCGTCTAGTCAGCTATCACAAAAGTCAAAACCATCGGCATCGCAATCTAAATCGAAACGATCTACGTCAGCTCAACCTTCTAAAGTGAGTAACGGTGGTGCTAGTAGTAACGCATCGCAATCAAATAACGCTGCTGGTAACGGTGGTAAATCGTCACAATCAAAAGCATCAAAGTCTCAAACAGAACCAGTGATCAAGCCACCATTAGCTCCATTGACACGTAATCTAGGTCCTGCAGTGTCCTTGACCCGCGCATTGTCTACCTCGACGTTACAACAGCAGCAACAGCTTGGTGAGAAGCCGCCACCACGGAAAACCAAGTCACAGAGCATCAACTTAGATGATTCTGATGACGATACGACGGTGGAATCATTTAAGGCTTTTAAATCCCGTCGAACCGGCTGAACGATGAGGAGTCAATTACACGCATCTGTAGTAACCTGTACATATTGTAAATCCTAGAACTAAGTTAAAAACTAGAATTTAAATTCTCATTATTAATTACTTCTAGTTCATCGCAGCAGCTGATTCCCATCTTTTCCATAATTCAACCCTCATTCAAACATAACTGACGCATTTCGCAGCTCACCAAGAATGTTTGCGACAAGGAGCCTACTAAGAACAGCCGCCAGGCAATGCACTTGCTCATCCACTAGACTGCTTCCATCTAGAATACCAAAGAATATACAACCGATTCCAATTCGGACAATCGCCTCTGCTGTCCATGTATCGCCTGTAGTGCTTCCAAATCTCAACGGGCCGCTCGCTACAGTCCGTAAAACGAGTGGGAAGAAGCTGCCTAGGAAGGCTGCATTGACTCTGGTATGTTGGTGTCTTGATTGAAAACACATTTGTCATTGTTTTCGTACAGTGTTTTCAAGTCAGAAAGCTTGTTGGTTTTATGTAGAGGAGAGATCAAATGGATGATATCGCTTGTTTCTGCCAATTTTCTCTTGACTCTCTGTCTGTAACTCAAACGATTCCTTTCATCAACGCCGTTAGACAGAGTCTGCTGTTTCTCGCTTAAAGGAACTAGTATCGGATCCACTAGATCCAAAACTATTAAAGGTATGCCATCATTCAAACCTAACGGCTTTCGCGTCGTCATTAACTCGTTGTTCATTCGAAACGGTAGGTTGGTACCAAGAAAAAGGGCTGCTCGGGCCAAACATATAATCTCGAATACGTGTCAACACCATCCAAATTCGACGAAGTCATTGAACAAGACGGCGTCAAGGTGCTGATAGATTCCAAGGCCTTGTTTTCTCTAGTCGGATCAGAAATGGATTACATAGAAGATAAACTGAGTAGTCAATTCGTCTTTCACAATCCGAATGTCAAGGAAATGTGTGGATGTGGACAGAGTTTTATGACATGAGCAGGGCTTTTTATTTTATATATACGCAATTATTACAACTGCTACTTTATACACAAGCATTTTCGATTCAATACATACCCGACACCATCCTCCTCTCTATATGAGAAGCAAAGCTTAACAACTTTTCTACTTTTTGGCGGTCATTTTTTTTATCGAAGAATGATGAGCTTTTGCCTCAATTCATTCAAATCTTTATCTACTATATACTTTCCACTGTTTAATACTTTTGAATCAGGAGAGTGTAGGTTGCAGGAACTCTTGTATAAGGCATCGTACGACCAAACACCTTGATGAAGAGATTTCCCGTGGTATGCGAGTACGTGTGATGGTATTATGGAATCCATAGTGACAGATGTAGCAGTTGTTGGTAGCAGTGTTGTTATAGAGATGGATTCGGAATCAGCTTCAGTGGCGTATGCAAAACCTACACAAGAAAAGAATGGTCTATAAGGATCTCGTCATTGTGATGATAGCTCATTGGTTGGTGTACTGAGAGCCAAGAAACAAGGACTCTTGATCAAAACATGGTTGTGATGATAGTTTCAGTTTTGTTATACCTGTGATGAGAGCCCAATGTGCGCTTGCTCCTCCTTTGAGTATTGGCTCATGATTGAACTACAGCAGCAAAAAACTAATTCAGTACAGTACGTCGACCAGGTGGATCGACTTCAATGTCTCAAGCGTACGTACATCAGGATCATAGCAAACCAAAACAAGCCCTCCCTCGATCAAAGCTGCAATGAGCTGACTTTCATTGTTCCATGTCTCAACAGTAGCATCCAGTCCACACGTCTCTCTAGCCAATTGAGCCAAAGACGAGGCATGGAACATTTCTCCATGTAGACTGAATCCAGAAGATACAGCTTGTTGTAACAGGTCGTCCACGGATACAATTGGAGTGGTTGGTCGAAGATACTTCGCCGCCATGTGCAAGGCAACGAGTCCACACCTGTGTTGAGAGAGATTAGCAAGTGCGCCTGATGGTAAAGAGGTATGAGCGTACGTTGTTCCAATTTGGCGTTCAGGTATCACGGCGTGGCGAAAGGCCGACCATTGCGAACTAGAAGGGTTGTTGGGTTTGGTGAGATTCAGACCATTTCCGAGTTTACAAGAGTTTACAACAAAGACAAGTTGAGAAGTATTCATTTACTGATTTGAAGAGCGTCTTAGCCTTGAAACTATTTCTTGCTCCAAATTCAGCATTAAATCTTGCAGTGATGCTTTCTTGTATGGTTTGATGTCGGAGATTTTGATGCCGGTCGCTCTGGTAGGGATCAGTAGAGCACGCAAGATCTATGTAAATACATGAATAAAATACTCGTGAGATACTGTAACTGCTGTGGGCAATGTAATATCTCCCACTTTTGGACAAATCGAAACCAACGCACAGGGTTTGGGTTGACTTTGACTGCTGTCTGAATTGATCTGAAGGACGTCGCTTACCTCAATATAACATATCTGAGTGGGTTCAAATGGTTCACATTCAAGGTGAGAGTCTAGTGGCAGTTTATCCATAAAGTATCGCTTCTCACTTTTTGGTGGTGGTTGTTTCGCAGGCGGTTTAGTTGTGGAGAAAAGGACGTTTGGGGTGGGGACTATAATTGATTTTCTAAATGGTGTCGTTTCATTCGTACTGCTTTTCGTCACGTCGCTTGTCAATGTAGGTGTTTGCCAACATTTGCCTCAAATCTCTCGAGTTCCAACATCTTCCACAAACGTTTGGAATTCTGATATCTTACGCCCCATAAACCCAATATACTTCACGTGTATTGGTTGGCGTTCGTCACTATTGCTTTCTCTAACCCTCCACACTCAACAAACAGCCAACGTCAATCCATCCTTCAAGAAACGGAGCTAGCGGACGTGCCGATCCGTACAATAGTCGTAGAGGTAACCCCAAAGTGAACGGCTTTGGAGGTCCTGGAGGAAAGGGGCAGACTGTCAATGTTAGTTGCTCGACATCCAGCTGATCATAAGCCTGTCGAAAGGCAGGCTATATACAGGTCGTGAATATGGTGTAGATTGGTCCTTTCAACGACATCCCACCCTTTAATGGTTATGAACTGCTGCTCGGTTAAAAGCAACAATCGACAGAAGTGATAGAGACTCGTTTGATACGGCCAAAACACCCGTTTGATTATGTTTGATTTCGATCTCAAATATATTTTGCATATTATTATATCTTTGAAGTCCTAAGTGTCGCTACTATGGCTTTTTGGATTACGAGAGCTAAGGGAAGTAATTGTTAGCTCTTGTGTTGGTTACGATTTCGACCAACGTCAAAACCACGTACCACTCTCTCTTGGTTTCTCTTGAATAATCATATGACCGACACCGTCGAGCCACGTTATACCTTGAAAGTTTCTTAGCCGCTTCGACCATAATTCATCTTTGGTACCTTTACTGCCATCGTAACATTCGAATATCATGTTCGCCGTCATTGATTCTCTACCACTCACAAGACGCACTCTACATTTTAATTCACCTGCACGGTCAAATGAGTCTAAAGGCCCTATACCGAGCCATAGTGCTGATTCCCATTCAGGCATGCATTTCAAACGTGTTTCCTTTCCCTTGGACGTGTCAGCTTCATAGAAAGCATGCTCAATAAAGTTTTCAACAGCATCTATCGGCCACCGTTTATAAAAGTCCTTCCCCATAAAGAAGTCCCGAGTTTCCTGGCTGTACGAGCAAAAGTGTGAGTGATGTTGAGTACAGGGGTGTGCCTGAGGGGTAACGTCCTTACCGTGTCTTCCAAGTCCGTCTCCTCTTAGCTGCACCAGCGGCCAGTTTCGTGTGAGCCGAGTCTGCATTCAGATTCATCGCGTATATAGGCGGATAATGTGATGGTTCGAACAAGACCAGTTCTGAAAAGGCGTCAGGCCGTAACAGTGCTGAGAGAGTAAGAGCACACCCTCCCATTGAATGTCCTACACCGACTAAAAGCACGTCTTGACCGACTACCAGTCCTACAGAAACAGAACTTGCTTCAGTCGTTGTAGCAGGAGTTCACAGAGCAGCAAGCACAACCTTCTCGCGCCAAATTTTGGAAGACCCAGTCAACCGTAAGCGCGATATCATGAGCCCAGTTGTACATCTTAGCACCCTGTCCCAGTGGAGGTATGGGTTCAACATCCAGATTCAAAGGTCCTGCGTCCCCATGATGTCTCAGATCACACGAATACGCAGCCAGCACATTGGAGTCGAGCTCAAAGAGGTTCTTGAGGGTTCCTTCGTATGTCTCTTTATGGCCACCAGCGTAATGCGTCATAAGTAGGACAATTCTGGAGTTTGGCGTTTGATGTAGTGGTCTGTATTCATTCACTGATAGCCGTATTCCAGGCGACGAACCTTTCAAAATATGTGTTTGGAAAGGCTTCATCGCGTAATCTACATGTGGTTCAAGGTTCAAGTTACTGATTAGTTGCAACTGATGTTTTGTCAACGTGGCATTCCTCCAAACAGCCAAATCCAGTAGCGGTCGTTTGCAAGCAAGGATGCATTTTAGACTGTACAGACTTACCTCGATATGCACTGGCGGCCTGAAGAACTGCAAACTTTCTGCTCAGAGAACACGTCCCAGTACTAGTCGCAACCGTTTGGTGCAAGTAAACGAGACAGGTCAGATCAGATGGCAATCGGCACAAGCAAGATCTACCTCTATATCCAATTATACGTCGTTACGTGGGCTTTCAATGTCTGCAAACGCGACATCAACCACGACATCATCAGAAACGTCGACGGCATCAACTTCAGCATCACCACGGCCTTCTCACAGAGGCAAATTGAGAAATCTAGGTTTGATCTGTTTGTGGACTATATCTACTCTACGATCCTGACAGAGCATCACTCTTATCTAGGTCTGATCTTCATCGTCGCATATGGTTTATACGTCGTCTATGACTTTGATGAGGCCACGTTGTTACCTGCTGCTGTATTTCGTTTCAGTACATCAATGGTTGGAGGAGGGCTGATTGCTCTTGACTACAAGATCCTCCATTGGAGATTCAGGAACAAGTAGAAACGTTGGTCTTCGATCGATATTGTGACTTCTCACAGACCTTTATATCCATTATTTTAGAGGATACGAGTCCGCTGAATACAAAACTGAACGTGAAATCGTACACAGACGAGCTGCAAAGGCCTTACTGTGGATCGCTTCGTTCCAAGGTGGTATCTACGTCAAAGCAGCTCAGCATTTGGCATCATTACGATACATCATACCCGACGTGTTTGTCGATACGCTACAACAGTTACAAGATCGGGCTCCGTCCAAGGAGTATAAAGTAGTTCGTAAAATCATAAAACAGGAATTTGGCAAGGACCCACATGATCTCTTTGCTGAATTTGACGAGACGCCGTTCGCCGCTGCAAGTATAGCACAAGTGCATAAAGCTACGACACGAGATGGTGAAGCTGTGGTTGTGAAGGTCCAGTACCCTGACGTGTCTCGCCTCTTCAAGTGCGTGATTCACATATAGCGCTTTCGGTTGACTCCTCACTCAACGCATCCTTGAAATAGTGTGGATATAGCAACTATGAAGATTATATCGACTCTTATTACCGTCTTCTTTGATGAGTTTCGACTAGACTGGGTCGTAGAGGAATTCAAGCAGAATCTAATCCAGGAATTCAACTTTGTAGCAGAAGGTCGAAATTGTGAGCTCACTGACGCACGATTTGCCCACAGAGCTGCTGAGATAAGATGCCCGCGAATAAGATGGGACCTTACAACAAAGAAAGTACTCGTAATGGAGTACGTCAATGGAGCAAAAGTCAATGATATACCTGCAATTAAGGCTCTGGGTCTTGAACCTGCTGTTTTAGGTCGTTTGATATCAGAGTGCTTTGCGGAGATGGTATTTTGTCATGGAATTGTGCATTGTGACCCACATGCTGGAAATATGTTGGTTGTACCGAGTCCGCTGGATAAGACCAGGCCACAGCTTATTATTTTGGATCATGGACTGTACAAGGTGTTGGATGAGAGTTTTAGGAGGTCGTTTTGTTTGCTATGGAAGGCTATGGTAAATGGGTCACTGTGGGGGGCTTTTTGTTGTTTCTAATACCCAATTGTTCACAGTGCTTTCTCGATAGGTCACGAATGATGTCAAGTTGTTGAGGCTGGCTGCTGTGCAACTAGGTGTTACTGAGGTAAGAGTTTCAAGATTCCAGACCTCGAGGGTGAAGGGTTATTACATTGGCTGCTCTTTTAGTATGCCGAGCACTTTCCACTGATATTTATCGGAAGGCCCATCGATGGCCAGAACAAGCTTGGATCTGGAATGTCATCGGAAGAGAGGAAAAGAGTGCGAGAGGTACAACCAAAACGATGAGTTCTCCTTTGTAATGCAACTGCTGATGGTTCGTTCTCAATTTTAGGGCTTTAAAAAGCTAAAGATGGGCGACGTCTTTCAATTCTTGGAAGATCTGCCTCGAGACATGCTCTTTTCAATCCGTGTGCTGAATCTAGTACGAAGTCTACATCGTGACCTCGTAGGTGAAACATCTCCAAGAGACCGCTTTGCAATATTCGCTCGTTATGCCGTAAAAGGGGCTTATGTAACGAGTTTCAATGAGAGAGAAGCTGAAGCAAAACGAATGCTGGATGAGAGGCATAAAGGTGGTCGTGTTGAAGTGGCGTTATATGGTGGTCTGTCTTTTAGGAGGCCGAGAACGCTGGTCGAGACTACCCCTGATTCGATTGTGACGAGGATTGCATTTATTCGAGACTTCGCATATTTGCAATTGAATTTGTGGTTGCTAGAAAATATCGGATGGGCGGTTAGATGGTGGAGGTATGCATGGAGTTTTGTGGGAGTATAATGGTATGATCAACCGCATGCATGCATCAAATATCGTATAAAGAGTGTCTATAGCATTAAGCAAAATGTAGAGTCTCCATTTTGAGTCATCAACACAAACAACTTCGACACATCAACGTATATGATTATGAAAGTTCTATTAGGACTCACTTAACATGACAACTAGACTATATTTACTATACTATACACAGTGCTTCAGCTTATGCAGGAGTTAGGTCAACCTCCTTCTTCTCCTCCTTGGCTATCTCCTCCACTCGTTCAGGCTTCAAGCAGAACGATAGCAGTAGAGACGTACCCAAAAAGGGTATCGTATACAGAAACACTGTGTGGAGTGCACCGAAAACAACAGCCTTGACTGGTCCTCCTATAGCTGGATCCAGTTTACTGAGTTCCTCTAGGTTTCCAGACCAGTTAGTCGCAGCCAGACCAGCTGCGACTGTTGGGTCTAGGTTGGTTAGGCCGTTCTGAAGGGCATTGTTGAATATCGATGAGAGGATTGTGAAGCCCACGACTCCACTGTGAAGGAAAAAGGAAGGAAACGGTCAATTTTGAAAGTGATTGTAGACAAAAAATATCATGTTTGAACTTACCCAATGTTCTGGAAGGTGCCCAGCATTGTAGTCACTGAGCCAAGAAGTTCGTCGTTGTCACGAACCGCCTACAAAAACGACAATAAGACTTTGACACAAAAACGAAACACATCTTGTTGCAGTCGGCGCTTACTCCTTGTGCCAAAAAGTAGATCCCAGCAAGTGACGCGCCGAGACCCATACCGAGGACGATGAAAGCGATGGTCTGTAGAGCTATCAGAGGTAGGAAGACACGTCAGTGTTGGACTTTTGGTTAACTAAAGAGCCAAGAAATGACCTCTTGGGAAATACCGTACCTAAACTGCTGTGTTCGTCCAACATTTGAAGCAATATGTATCCAGTCAGCATAAAAGCATTTCCAGCTATGACGACGACGTTGTAGTATCGCACTAATGGCATGAGAATAGAAGCAGCGGCAGTTGCAACAATCTAAAGTTCAAGAGAGCAAAAAATGAGAATTGCGAGAAAAAATTGACTTTGATATCTTTGAACTTACCAAACCGCCCATGACAGCTGGTGACACGTGTAGACCGCTCAGAGTAGCAGTATTTCCAAGGGTTTGGAAGTAGTATGGTCCGTACACAAACGTGGCAAAGAATCCTACTCCTTGGAAGAACTGAATGGCCAACGGCACAGCAGCATTCCAATACGTAAACATGGCTGGTGGGATCATTGGATCAACGGCAACTCTTGTTTCAACGTAGACCAACATGACAAGGAAGAGAATTCCAACAACAAAGAGACTGATTATTTGCGGCGAGTTCCAAGCGTATTGTACTCCTCCCCATGTAAGTGCGAGCAGGATACACGAAATTCCGACGAGGATGCCTATAGAGCCAAGGTAGTCTACTTGGGCGAGTTGTTTTCTTATGCTGCTAGTACGCTTCATTGGGATGTTCAAGAAGAAGAAGATCAGGAGCATGCTTATTGGAGCAATGGCAATGTTTCTACAGGAAGAATGCGAGGTTGATAAAGATATTTTATAAGAACCCTTCAAGTTTTCCAACAAACGGCGCGCTTACAGCCAGAAATCAAATCTCCATCCGAGACGTTCAGTGTCGACGAAAGCACCACCGATCAATGGTCCGAGGATAGCACTATCGTAGAAGATGAATGTTCAGTTGGAGGTCCATCTGCGCGATAGTAAAACCAACACGTTCAGGCCCATCACGAGCAAGAATTGTCTTGCAGCAGATCAATTACCTGACACCGTTGTTGAGAAAGACGAGCATCACATATCTAGGTCGTAATTCCAATGGGAAGAGATCACTCATGGTCACAATTACAGATGGAAATATGAGACCTCCACCCAGACCTTGGATAGCCTGGTATAGTGAAGATAACTGTTAATACTGAAAGTCACACACAGAAATTCAGAGTTCTAAAAAAGGAGACCACGCACTCGTCCAGTAATCAACATATCCATGCTCGTTGCCAACGCACAGATCAAACTTCCGATGGCAAATACAGATATGGCACCAGTAAAGACCTATTTGGGATTGAGATGGCGTATAAGAAAGATGTCCGAAAAAGAATCAATCTGGTCACAGGCTGTGGACTCACGACTTTGTGACCAAAGATGCGTATAAATCTTGGACATAGTGGCTAGTGTAAACACAATCAGTCAGTAACAAACATACCAATCCGAACCTCAAGCCCATATATTTTACCTGAATCGCATTGAAAAACACAACAAACATTCCCACTACCAAATCCAACTTGACGAATGCATTGAACTCAGATCCAATGAAACTGAGGGAAGTGTTTAGAATCGTTTCGTCAAGAAATGCTAATAACTAACCCAAAGAAAGAGAAGGGAATCGGTTAGGTCGTGAGATTACGGGAGTGTGTTCAGGTGTTTTGAAACCCAACAACCAGAGATAAGTAGCATTTCAACACTTTTGAGAGAGGTAGATCCATGCATCAGGTCACCATATACCGCAAACAAGCACACAATTCCATCTATGCAACCCCCAAACAACTGAAATTCCCAAAAATATTGCAAAGGCAGATCCCAAAACGTACTTGAGCAGATAACAGACCAGCCATGACGGATGCGAGCGTCCAGAAAGGGTAAACCCCACTTCCCCACACTATCTCTCCTTCTGCAACATGTTCATCAACGACAACATCTGGCTTGTCCACAATCATCAGTGGTTCGCCATTGACAAAACTTTTTTCATCCATGTCCTCCCAGTTCTTGTTGATGGTCTGATAGATAGAATAGTTCTCAAGTAGTTGCAAATGCTAGAGATCACGAAATAGAGATGTGTTTTGGAATACGTTGTCACGCTTGCGTAGCTTTTCAATGCGACATGGCTTTGACAAAAAAATCGGCATTCTAAATTTCCGCCTTGCCACGTAAGTGATGAAGTCGTGTCAAGAGAGTACAGAGCAAAGTAAAGCTTGGGTTATTGCTTTTTCCATGTGTGGTCGTGGTGTAGTCGTGTATACGTACAAGAAGTTTCACCACTACACCGCGATTTCAACCACGTTGCATTACTATCCAAGCTGACGTCAACCAAGATCCAGAGACAATTCTTTTTCATCTATGAGTATATTGTACTAGAAAACAGTTGTACTAAACAGTAAAACAAGATATCACAAATATTACATAATGTCTAGCCCATTGCAGCATGTTGCTCCATCTTCTTGGCCTCTTCTCCAGTAGCGACCCGAGAAGGCTTCAGACACAGCGTTAAAAGCCACCTATGATCACATTCAGCACGTTAGTCACTACTCCTCACAGCTTGAGACACTAACCGCTACTCACCCAATACCAACAAACGGCAGCGCATATCTAAACACACGTTGCAACGCCAACACATAGATATGTATGATTGGGGCACCCATCGCAGTAGGAAGACTTCCTAGCGCGTTTGGATTTCCATCCCAATGTGTTGCTGCATACGCTTGAATTTCTGGCGACAAGGCGGCAAATCCGGATGTGAATTCGTTGTTGAAGATGGCTGAGAGGACTGCGAAACCAATTCCACCTGTTTTTTTGAGAATATCGATGTCAGTTGCGATGCAAGCAAGAAGAGAATGATAATAAAAACGTACCACCAACAGATTGGAAGAAATTACAGAGCGTGGTTGTTATTCCAACCAATTCCTCTCTACAACAACAGAAAGTGTGAGGACGAGCAAAAACTCATTGGATATCAAGCACACTCTTACTTGTCTGCAACAGCAGCTTGTGCACACAGGAATAACGGTTGGAAGGAGAAACCAAGACCAACACCAACAATGAGGAAGTAGCATATTTGAGCAGCTTTTGAAGATTGTTCGTCCAAAGTTGACAGCATTCCTAAGCCAACCATTACAATGGCGTTACCTATGACTACTAGTACATTGTAGTACTTGACTACTGGTAAAAGCACGCCGGAAACGATCGAGAAGACGACCAGACCACCGACTAGCAAGATGTAGCGAGTCAGTATTTTCAATATTTTGAGATTTGCCAAACGTGATGTACTCACGTAAAGGAATGATTGAAAGACCACTAGAAGTTGCAGAGGCACTGAATGCAGCTTGGAAGAAGAATGGACCATAGAAAATACAAGCAAAGACTAATGAAAGGGAAAAGAATGTGAGCATATGCGATAAGAAACAGACCCAACAAACTCGTTCTTACATCCACTGCCTTGGAAAAAGGCAATAGCAAAACACAAACTGGCATTCCATCTCTTAAAGATCTCTGGTGGAATAATTGGTTCTGGTGTTGTAAGTTCGACATATACAAGTCCTCCCAAGACCAACACGGCTAGAATATAACACGAGATGACTGGTGCAGAAGCCCAAGGATATCTTGAAAATGAAAGTGTTAAAGCGAGGTTTAGCATGGCAAAGAAACAGCAAGGAACCTACGTAATTCCGCCCCACGAAGTAGCCAACAGCAACATCAGGACAAATACAAGAACACCCAGCGTTCCCCAGTAGTCAACACGAGCAAGTTTCTCCCTCAATGAGGACTTTTGCAGTGGAATATTTAAGAAGAAGATCACAAAGACGAAAGAGATAGGGCAGAGTATGATGTTGCTGTGTCAAGTCAAAGAATTGGTTACTACAATTATTTCCAAACTTTCAACTGAAAAGCAACCTACTTACAGCCAGAAGCACCATCTCCAACTCAAACGGTCAATGAAGGCTCCTCCGACCAGAGGGCCAAGCACAGTGCTCACTCCAAAGTTGATAAACACCACAACCAAGAATTTCGGTCGTCGTTCAAGTGGAAACATATCTACTATCGTAATCATAACCAGGGAGATGATACACGCTCCTCCCATTCCTTGAAACGCTCTTCCGACAATCAAGACTTCGATTATAGGTGCAATAGCGCATACTAAAGATCCGATAAAGAAGCTAGCGATTCCGAATGCCATCATGATTTTGTGTCCGAATATCGATGTGAATTTTCCCGTGATTGGTTGGAAGGCGTTGAATGTTAGAATGTAGGCTGTTGCGACCCATGAGATCCTGGATTGTGCGTTGAATTCGGCTGATATAGCTCCCACTACGTTACAGACGGGTGTGAGAATGTGCCGGAAAACAAGGATATCCAGCGTTCTCATGCACAATAAAGTGATGGAGAACAAACGAGTTGCCACGTGCTTATACACCCAAACTTACATGATGTGGATATAATTGTACCATCCAATGCCGCAAGGAAATGAGATAAGACGAGGGATGCAATGATAGGAACCAGGATAGCAAGGGGGTATGGACCAGTTCCCCAATTGATTCCGTCCCGCACACCTTGTTTGTTCATAGATAGCATTGCGGCGTCGTCTCCTTTAAGATCAGCAGGCACTTGTACTTCCTCGTCAAACTTGGCCATTGAATCTGATGGAAGAGGTGTAAAGATCGTCAGTTACTGATATTGTCCAATTTTTGCCGCAGACGAATTGTCTCGTGGAAAGTGGGTTTCAAGCAAGGGAAGAGGTACATCGATATGTGCATATGATGCAGGGTAGTAACGGTACTATGCGATTTCTTATTGCTCAATGGTTGGTTTACTGCCGCTCACTTCATACGCAATCTTGATTTCCCAAAGTCTCCAACCCAAACGAGATGTTGAAGGAGAGAAAGTGAAGATCCAATGGATCTTTCAAAGAATACAATTCTCTTGACAGCATAAGACAGCGACTTGCCTTGTTTTGAGAGTAAAGTTGCATTCGATTCTTGAACTGCATTTTGGAAGGTGGGAGGCTGTTCAGCATGATGTGCGTTATTCAGTTCCTGTAGTAATATGGCCGACTCGGGTATCAATTGGTGTAGGGGATCCATATCGTTGGTCCTTGTGTGAGGTCTGAAGATTAAACGTCACTCTCGTCCAAAGTCAAAATTGACACCAAAAATCAAATCTAGGGGTCCAAGTAAAACGAAACATTCTGGCTAATTTATACCCCAACACAAAACACATCGATTAAGCAGAACAGAGGATCTATATGTTGATTGATAATAATTATACAGTTTGATGTTGGATATATCCCAGCAGTCTTCTAAACCCTGCAGTTGTTGATGTTGGTCACCAGAATATCAGATGCCCCTACAGACTCTAACTCGTCCATGATATCCGACACCTTATTTTTCATAACCATAGAGCTCACAGCGACCCAATTGTTGTCTTCCAGTGGTGATATGGTGGGTGCTTTTTTACCAGGTGTGATTTGCACTGCTGCTGGTAGAGATGCACGAGATACGTTATATGTGATGAGGGCATATCGTTGGGCTGTGATGACACCCTCGATACGTCTGGCTATACGTGATATGAGGGCGTTTGTGTGTCGTTTAGCCCGGTTGCAGATGAGGACTGCTTCTGATGTGCAGAGGACGTGGATTGCGTGCAAGTTTGCAGCGCGCATGGTTTCTCCTGATTCGACCAAGTCGACTGCATAGGGAGGAGGAGGAGTTTCAGAGAAGGGCTTGTAACGTTCTGTGCGTCAAAGGCATTTGGCTTACCAATACCGTCAGCTAGACCCAGTCCACAAGCAGCTTCCACAGAGCCAGATACATAGTTTATTCTAGTTTTCAGTACTGGGAAGGAACCAGTAGCTCCAATGTAGTCTTCTTTTGAATTGCCATTTGGCTGCTTGTTGACGTTTGCCTCATTCCGTTCGAGATCAGCAAAGAACTCATGAACCAGCCTTTCAAACGAGGTGACTATTCGTTTGCCTACTAGTTCTTTTACATCTGTTATGTCTGATGTTACAGGAACCTAGTCGAATTGAGATGTCATTTGAGTCAACTGTTTTTGACACACAACATTCGGTTCAAACAGGCCCAACGTACTTGCACAGAGAGATTGCACTTTCCAAAACCTAGATGCATGACTTCTTCCACATCGACACCGCTTTCCCTGACGACGTCTTGACCAGTTATACCCAAATCCACATTACCGTCAGCAACGAATTTAGCAATGTCGGCAGCAGGTAGAAAGACAAGAGCTATAGGCAGATTTGTAGACATTGCGATGTCGACCCTGTTTCCTCGTTTGAACTGAATGTCAGCTCCAGACAGAAGCGACAGGCACTGTTCATGTAGTCTTCCTTTTTTGGGGATTGCAAAGAGCAGCCTAGAGTTGAGTTCAGAGGTATCGAATATTGATGGAGTTGTGGCTCTTGTGCCTGGTAATTCGTCGTTTCCTTGCTTGGCCATTATGTATATATTCGTGTCTTGTATTCGCTAGCTGAGAGTCAAAAAAACTGTTTTTCGAAAACGCAAAAAAAGTGACATTCCTTCAAACATTTCCCGTAGCGGTCGCTGTATTCGAGACACTGCAGATTCCTGATCATATCGCTTCAATACGTCTGCCGTGAGCTATGCGCCAGCCACTCTCTCGATTCATTACCAGCCTGCACCAAAATCCACTTATCAAATCATTCTCAACCACACCTGCCCGCTATGCTGCCCGAGTAATTTCACGATCTCCTGAATTCGCAAAGCTCACCGATGCAGACATTCAATTCTTCAATTCGGTCTTGCCAACTCCGGGCTCGGTATTGACAAGCTCAGATGATGTTGCTCCTTATGGTGTAGATTGGATGAAAAAGTGCGCTACTAAACCGTTATTGATCTTAACTCGATTGTTTCATGACATGCAAATTATCTCTTGATAACAGGTATCAGGCACGTCCTGGTGACAATCTGACTGCAGTGCTCAGACCGTCAACAACAGAACAAGTATCGCAGATACTCAAACACTGCAATGAACGAAAGATTGCTGTAGTTCCTCAGGGTGGAAATACTGGACTGGTAACATTTGCTGTTGTGTTTTTCGGTATGGTTGCTTTCTTTGTGCTGACCTCACATCTTCTAACAGGTTGGAGGCTCGATACCTGTATTCGATGAAGTCGTGCTAAGCACACAGAAAATGGATGGTATATACGCATTCGACGAAATATCGGGTATCGTCACTTGTGGTGCTGGTGCCATCTTGGAAAAATTGGACTTGTGGTTGGCTGAGAAAGGGTTGGTGTCTTGAAGCGTTGTTTTCTCAGTACAGTCAAGCATAGTTCCTGATGCCAAACCCTTCGAATAGATACATGTGTCCATTGGACTTGGGTGCCAAGGGATCGTGTCATATAGGAGGAAACGTCGCAACGAATGCTGGTACGCTTTCAGACACTTTAAAATGTTGAATTTGTTCGTACTTACTCCTATTTGTAGGTGGTTTAAGGTTGCTTCGCTATGGAAGTTTGCATGGAACCGTACTAGGCACGTGACGAGACGACAAATTAGGGTCCGTTTTTTCCATAGCTAAAATTCCCCATATCTTTACAGGATTGGAGATAGTTTTACCAGACGGTCGTATTTTGGATTTGCTATCTACGTTAAGAAAGGACAATACTGGTACCGATTATTTGAAGGGTTGACAAAAGATAAATTTTTGATCTAATGAAGCTTCAATCTCCAAGGATATGATCTGAAGCAACTATTTATTGGATCTGAAGGCAATTAGGTTTCGTTGAATCTCTCTTGTTGTTACTCTCACTAACCACCCCGACCACAGGAACAATTGGCCTAATCACCGGCGTGTCAATCCTAACACCCCGCCGCCCATCATCCGTCCAAGTCGCAACCCTCGCAGCTCCCTCCTTCGAAGCAGTCCAACAAATATACCTAAAGACTCGTGCAGCACTAGGTGAAATCCTCTCTGCATACGAATTCTTTGACTCTGGATCTGCCAAACTCGTAGCACACCACCTACCATCCGTTCGACATCCATTCGAACAACATCCTGAATTCTATGTCTTGATCGAAACCCAGGGCAGCTCTGAAGAACATGATGCTGAGAAATTGAGTGGGCTCTTGACTGATTTGATGGATTCTGGACTTGTTACGGATGGTGCTTTGGCACAAGACACTACACAGTTTCACTCCATGTGGAAGGCTAGGGAGGGGATTCCAGAAGCTTGTTCGAAGGAAGGTGGTAACCTCAAGTAAGTATTGTGTGCAAGCGTGGTGTGTATCGGGGAACCATGCCTACTGACACGTCTTGGTTGTTTGCTGAAATAGGTATGATTTGTCTGTACCTGTTCCAGCCTTGTATTCAATCGTTACGGATATGCGAGAGCGTCTTGCATCGAAGGGACTTTACAAACCAGATGGATCTGGTCAAGTCTCTCATGTTGTTGGATTTGGTCATGTAAGTTTAATCGTAGTGCTAGACTTATTCTGATGTGTTTCCTCATGCATGGTTTCTGTAACTTAATTTTTGTCTCCATAATCCTAGCTTGGAGATGGAAACTTGCACTTGAACATTACTCAGAAAGGTGGTGTATTCCATCCTGAAGTTGCAGATGCTGTCGTAAGTTGGTATTCATCCCGAAGTCATTACCGCTTTTTTTGACCACGGACAAAACAATCTTAGGAACCTTTCGTCTATGAGCTGGTCAAGAAGCAACGAGGCTCTATATCCGCTGAACATGGGTCTGGACTCATGAAGGCTCCCTATCTAACATATTCGAAAGGCCCTGAAAACATACGGGCAATGAGACAAATCAAGACCCTGTTTGATCCTAATGGGATTATGAATCCGTACAAGTACCTGCCTGATCACGATTCTTGATACCAGTAATAGTTTGAGGTCTTATAGACGGCCAATAACATGTTGCATTCGAAAAACCTTCTTCGTGTTCGAACCTATGTTTTTTTTTTGGTTTCGAGTTGTTCATCCATACAAGATGTATATGCAGCGAAACATTGGTTCGGACTTAAGCAATGACTACTGGAGGGTAATCAAAGACTTGCACACCGACAACAGTGTTGGCAGAGAGGGATTTGCCAATTAGACTTTCGTCCGTAATGGCACGTTCGAAGGCATCAACTACCACATCGCGCTCTACAAATCCACCACTAGCAGTAACGATGAATCGCATCTGCTCGCTTTCTGTATATCCCTTTTCTACAGACATGGAATATAAACCGTCAGAGCCCATCGCTTCTTCAAAATTCAAAACACCTTGACACGGTACCTAACAATGGAGTCCTCACGTAGCCTGGACAAATGGCGTTAACCCTAACACCAGTCTGGTCATACCAAGCACCACCACATCCAGCTGTGAAGCCTACTACACCCCACTTTGCGGACGAGTAGAGAGGGTGATTTGGATATGGCTGTAGACCAGTCTGACTAGCCGTGTTGATTATAACTCCCTTGGTTCCGCTTTTGGCAAACTCCTTGTATGCCAGTACACTTCCTTGAATCACAGCGGTTAGATTAATGTCGATGATTTGGTGCCAGTTGGTTGTTCCTTCTTCGGCAATGGCGTCTGAGAGGTTGTGTGCAGCCTATAACGAAGAGGATGAAGACAAAAGTAATGAGCCAAGAAGAAACCGTCTTGTTCATGGTCGCGAATGTTGATGGTGTTTCAATACAGTCACGTACAATACCAGCGTTATTAAGCACAATATCCACACGTCCGAATTCGGCACGAGCAGCATCAAACATGGCTTGCTGATCAGCGATTTTGGTAACGTCGCAGTGTACGTAAATGGCCGTCTTTTCACCAAACTTGGCGTTGAGTGCGTTTGCTGACGCTTTGCCTTCCTCATCTAGAAAGTCAGAGAGGACGACCTTTGCTCTGAAAACGGAAGAAGAGCAATGTCAAAGATCGGAATCAGGTTGGAATTGACGTCAGAAGCAACAGTCATGGTGCAATCAAGTGTGGTAAACCGTGGAAAGATGTTGTTGAATGTTCGTTAGGAACTGACCCTTTTGAGCAGATTCTTTCGGCTACTCCATATCCCAATCCGGTTTGCGAAGCAGCACCAGTTATTATAGCAACCTAATATGATACGGAAGTGTGAGTTCTGACATGACTGTGCAAGCGTTTTCAACGAAACAAGAATAGGAAACGACAGAAGAAACATGTAGAGAACCGAGTTCACGTACCTTGTCTTTCAAGTCCATGACAGTCATCGTTGCGATAGTTCTCTTAAAAGCTCCTTTATTGTTTTGTTAAGAAGCTCGTTCGGGAGGAAAGCCAAAATCGTTTGTGTGACATGACGGTCATGCTTCCACATCAACCTACGATTATTAGTTGACTACCCGAATTTAACAGATCCTTTAGCTTCTTTAAAGCTCCACAGTATAGCTACCAGCCATGACTGTCGACTACACTCTCCACTCTTACCGCGACAAGGTAAAAAAATGACGCAAAATCGCTTTATCCAAAGTTTAAAGCCATGATGCGCTGTTTTGAATTGTATACTAACTCATCATGTATCTGGTAGATTGCGGTGGTGACTGGTGCTGCAGGTACTTGCTAGTAAACTCGTGGTGGTGTTTTGGATTTAGGACCTTACGACAAAGACATCTAAACACCACATCACAATGATATAGCTCCATCTGGAATTGGATACAATGTAGCCATGTACCTTGGTAAGTGCCAAATATCTGAGTCTGGAAGCCGTACAGGTTTCCTCGTTCCATATTTCTATCCTCAATCCTTCAACCCTTAGCTTCACAAAAAATGAAGGTCGTCATATCAGACATGATGGAAAAAGAAGGTATCGAAGCCGAAAAGGCAATCAACGCCAAATACGGAGACGGATGCTGCAAATTCATCAAAATCGATGTCGGGTCCTACGACGATAACGTCAAACTTCTCGAATTCACAAAGAAAACATTTGGTGTTTTGGATGTAATGGTTGCCAACGCCGGTATCTCAAACTATGGAGTCAAGGATCCATACACTGATGAAACGAATGCGTTTACAAAGATGACGGATGTGAATCTGATTTCGGTTATGGACGCAAACACGTTGGCTATAAATGAATGGCAAAAGGCTAAAAAGTCTGGTGTTTGTGTTAATACGGCTTCGATGGCTGCTTTTACGCCTATGCCACAGCAGTTTATGTGAGTGTAGTTCGTGACGCTTTCACGGCTTAGTATCAAAAACACACGATTCTAAAATTTGCCCTCTGGACATAGGTATAGCGCCACTAAGCATGGTGTTCTTGGCTGGACACGGTCGTGCACCACTCTAGCTGGTGAAGGCATTCGTATTTGTTGCGTCTGTCCGATGTGGGCAAGTACATACTAGCAGCATTGACGACGTCTAACAGGAAGTCTAACTTCTGATTTGATCATTAGGTCGCTACCCCCATGACCAAATTTATCCAAGAGTCTGACGAAGCAAAACCTCTAGTCGCCAGGTTTGTTCCTTTAGCTTCTTTGAAGCGTCCTCAAAGATTGACTCTCTAGAACATTACGTTAGGACCGGTGGTTGGGTATCAATCGATACTGTGGTAGAGGCATACGCCAAGGCCATCGGGGAAGGAAAGACTGGATACGCATACCAAGCAAAATCTCACGGCGTGATTCCAATTCCACCTGCATTGCACTTCATGGCCAGTGTGGCGCCAGATGGTAATAAGGAAGACATTTCTCCCTATAGCAGTCCAAAAATCTCACTCCCCTTCGTTTATTATAGGTTCCGTCATCCCAGCACCCGCATTCGCCAAACCTGCTGCATCATCGAAGAAGACACCGTCATCTCCAAAGGGCAAACGAGGAAGGAAGCCAAAGGCCGCCAAGGTTGAAGAAGAGCAGATGGATGTTGACGAGGAGGAAGAAGAAGAAGCACCTGCTCCTCCCTCAAAGAAGGCCAAGACAACAAAAGCAAAGGCCTCGAAGGCGGCCAAACACCCATCTGATGATGAGGATGTTGACGAGGAAATGGAAGCACCGGTTTCTCCTGCTAAAAAGGAAAAGAAGGAGACAAAGACGACAAAGGCCGGAAAGGCAACCAAGGAATCAGCAGCAGGATCCAGAAAATCAACACGTGCCAAGTAAAACCCCGAAAGCAATTCAGAAACATTATCAAATCTATATTTGTTTCGTGTGCTCTGGATTTTGGTTTCGACTACAATAAACTATTTTAGCAAAGACAAAGATTGGTTTTATGTGGGTTGTTTTCATGTTTCTTATTGCGGTGCTGGAGAGTTGTTCAAGAAGGAATATGGACTGGGCAGATTCGAGTAACCTTGATTTACTGCATCACCTCCTATATTCATATTTGCTACACCAGAGTTCATTGGCGAGTGCATTGGGGAAGTTGATCTGTGAGAGCCTGGAGTCTCAGTAGTACTGCTACCGGAAGAGGATGACATATCATAAGTCGAATCCGGTTGCTGTGCTACGTCTCTGCTGGGACATAGATCAGGTGCAGCGTAATTTGTGACGGTTCCACTACCAGTTGTTGTAGTGAGTGTTTCGAGGAGTTTCTTCAATCTAGCCGAGTATGTTGCCGAGACGGGCCAGATCTATGAGACGCAGGGTCACGTCTTTAGATTCACCAAACTTCAATATAAACTTGCCGAAGAAGAAAACTTGACTTACTCGTGACAGGTTTTCCAAGTAGGGGATAATCACAGTCTTAATGTCATTGACAAACTCCATTTGCTTGCCTCTATAGATTGGATTTGATGAAACATATGCTAGGTTTATAGCACAGATTGAATACACGGTGAATGACATAATAGGGTTGTCAGCGCATTGGGATGGTGGTGGCGGATAAAGTGCTGATATTGGAATGTCTCGGGCTGTGATCGAGTCGTCTGGTGAGAACGGCATCATGATTCCTTCAACTGCGTGCACGGACCTAATAACATATACAAGAATCTTATGGCATGCTATGAGTACTCCTGCCGATGATAAATACGCCGAATCTTTTCCGTATTGGACGGGATAGATTCGGCTAGTGTTTGTAATGGTGGGTTGATGTAGCATGGATAGAGTAGCCAAGAAGAAGAATTCGTTGAATATCAGCGATGCGTTTCGAGTCCAGGCTGGGGATGAGCTAGGATGTGGTAATGGTATTTCGGTGTCTCCAGTAAAGAATTCTAGACTATCCCATACTCTGTATTCAGGGGGTAACGTAGCCCTCCAACGAAGCATGGCATTATACAGAGTGACGCCGTCTGGCGTTGGTGGAAGCAAGCTCATCACGGTACTCATGGATGGTGACAGGTTTCTGTTATCTATTGGACTATGATGACTCAATTGACGCACGTAGCGCCCCACTTGCCGACTGATCACTGACAATTCCCACATATGGATTGAGTATGATGGTGATGAGATAAGATGGCCAACGCCGTTTGGATCTTCTGTGAGAGACGACAGTGGCGGTTTTGCATCAAACACGGTGTTCATGGGTCGACCTGCCAAGAAACTCCTCCATGGTTCATCGTCGGCTATTCCTGGGACGCCATGAAGCGTTTCTCGACGTTCCCTTTCGTCTGAAGCTGCCAACAAGGGACGACACTCGGTCTGAAATCAAACACACTCGTTAGACATGGATCAGCACATAAGCACCAAAAAAGGAAGGGCGAGTGGTTCTGGAAGCTGATCCTTCGTCGTCTCACCTCGTCTATGGAAAATGGCAATCCGCCTGAAATCATACTCGCAAACGCATCAATTTTCATACACGAAATGAATATACGTCGCCGAGTTTCAGCATCAATACTGGCCGTTTCTTTCTTCCATGCAGAGAAATGATAGAGATCTGAAGATGCCACACGCCAATCGTCTGCGTGCATCATATTACACTTGATGGCGATACGGAATGCCATTCCTATTGGGAACTTTTCAGTTTGTCGTAGAACAGTTATTCGTGAGTGCGATTATTCGTACCAGTCCACATGAAGGCTCGAGCACTTTGTAGAGCACCGTAGTCAAATACACCCAATAGCAACTGAGTCTGAATGAGTGATGCACCTTCTTTTGGACCCCCACGTTCAGGATCAATAGCTTCTACTGCTCGACCATAGAATATTTCAGAAGCTCTTGTCGGTGATTGATACTCAGAGTACAGTGCTGGGTGTCGCGAATACAAGGCGCCCATCTAGTGCAAAAGAGTGTTAAGGAGACAGCACCAAAAGGGCGTCCTACAACGAGACTTACAGCATAAATCACATTCAACAGGTAAGAAGGATGCTTGTTGATTGGAGCTAGCTCACTGAAGAACTCCTTTTCGTGAAAGAGTGGAAGCACGCCATGGGCGTAAGTAAAGTATACTTGGACAAGGTGAAGCTCTAAAGGAGAAAGCTGTCCTCCATTCCCTCCAGAGATTTCACGTATGCTTGGATATGTCGTTGGTGTGGGAGCGTTGACCATGTTGAAAAAGTCCTGCGACAATCCTAAACTTGCATAGGTCTGCTCGTCGATACGAATTGATGATAGGTTGGTAAATATAGGTGCACTAGGTGGGGCAAACATGGATTCCAATACGTCTAGACGAAGATTTGCTTTTGAGAAAATCGACAGGTCATCACAAAAAGGGAGTTTACTACTCACTAGATTGATTGACCCATGAAGACGCAGAAGATTGTCGTGTCATCATATTACCACTATTACCAGGCGATCCTGGACTATCAAGTAGCATCATCTCCAAGACGTTCGCGGCAGACACCATCTGTGGTTCAGCATCTTCCCCCTCTTCATCATCATACATGACTTGCTGATTTGATCGTAAAGGACCACCGCTTGATTCTGGTCTTCGTTGTCGTTTCTGTGGTGGAGCTTGGTCTTCATCGTCGTCTTCATATGAAGCAGTGGTGTTTCGTCCTGCTGTAGCTTTTAAAGCTTCAAGGACTTCATTTAATTCTTTCCCTTGCAGTTCTCCAGTTTGTAGAGGTTTGATCAAGGCTTCCAAGGCGCTGAGTTTACGATTGATATCTTCTCGATATCCCTTCTTTGGTCTGTTTTGCAAAGAAAGTTGTTCAAGCAGCGTTCACACACGAGAAAGATATCAAAGCAGCACTCACCCTCGCTTTCTAGGTGCTTCTGGATACACACATGCGCTTGCAACATTCCTGGAAATGGCCTATATGACCGAAAGGGAGGTTAGTTTCTCTTCTGATCTGTGGCATGATTTCTACTTACCCTCTGACAATTTGAGCACGTGGGCTTCGTACCACAGCATTTTCTCTTTTTGGCTCGACAACGTTCTAATGCAGTGAGTTTCGAAATGGTCAGTGATCTCTGAAATGTTGACATGTTTATGGTTTCAACTTTGGGTGCAATCGTGCTAAACTTCGGCGAGATTTGATTCTTCCAAGTATCAAACGACCCCAATATGCCAGTTATACCGTCCGTCATAACAAACTTGACCAATTTTCATGACTTTGCGACTATTTGGCTTCTTGTTTTGCAATTAAACCACCACACAACATGGTAGAGTGCAGATTCAGCGTGCTTACCACATGCTATTACAGCTTTAGCAACAGGGGCTTCTCCTTCCATCGGTCTCAAAAGCTCCTCTGAACTTGATACCTTAATTTGGTGGATGTGCGGATAACAGAACGCCGAAAAAACCAAATGAGTTTGTAAGCGGACGTGGCACTTAGCTCCAGTAAGTTCATATATTTGATGGCTCATTTGTATGATTTATATATACAATTTATATAGCAGGTTCGATTAATCCATTAGTTCTGCTAATTCAGCTTCTTCCTCGGCTGTTAACCCACTATCACCACCAGATGCAGGAACAGTCGAGTCTGATCCTTCTCCAGGGCCAGGAACCTCATCTATTTGCATAGTTCCATCAAACAGGGATAGATCAGCAGTACCGCCAATGAGATCTACATTTTGAGTATCAGAACTCTGAGAATATACGAACTTGTATGGGTATATCTCACTCACCACTGACGTCCCACCGTCTAATCGTGGCATCAATAGATCCACTCCATAATACAGAACCTCGTAAGGCTACAGCTGATACTTCATCAGAGTGTGCGTCCATTGTTCGGACAACCTGATCAGTCTGTTTTTAATACCTTGCAATTAGTATAAGGTGTCTTGAACGTGTGGAATTGATAATCATATACTCACTGCTGCATCCCATACACGAACAATCTCATCGCGACATCCAGTAAAGACGTAACGATCAGAAACAGCAACTGCCTTCACAAAGTCAGGATGCTCTAAACTCGTGTCTTCCAGACCAGTATTGAGATCCCATCGTTTGAGGGTCTTGTCCGCCGAAGCTATTGAGAATAGCGTCAATTCCAAACGTGAGGTATAGCAGGACATGACATGACAATGGCACCTACCAGACCACAGTTGATCTCCCTCTTCATTCATGCCGAGACGATAGACACTAGTCAAGTGGCCAGTCAGAGTAACTAATACTTGACCAGACTGCACATCCCAAATCTTTATGCTGCCATCCGAAGAAGCGGAAGCTAATCTCTTGCCGTCTTCAAACAGCAGTATATCTTCCACTCCACGTGTATGTTCTTTTAATGTACGGATTAGGCGACCTGTTTGCAAATCCCATATTCTGATGGTGGTGTCTACTGACGCAGAAAAGAGGAGGTTCTTGTGTATTACGACCTTTTTCACAAAGTCTGTGTGTGCAGTCATTTTCAGTAGGCATTCTCCCGTCTAGAGAAGGAAACTATATGAGACTAACAATTACATATCGTGTTTGAATATAATTCCAGACCAGAGCATTCCATTTGCGGATGCCCTTGTCCCATGAGCCTGTCACAACCACTTCTTCTTGTCCAGCCGCATTGAGAGCAATAGCTACAGTAGTTACAGGTCCGGTATGTCCCTTGAATGCTTTAGACCATTTGCCAGTCTACAGGCCGAGTGCTTTGTGAGCCAACCCTAGCAGAGTCCAGATTGATCAAATGCGAAATACATACCATGAGATTGTACTTTCTTGCGACATGACCACTCTCGGCGACATAAGCATAAAGCTTGTTTGCAGATAGATCTGCATCTGATCCAGTACCGGCAAACTGCAAATCCAGTACTTTGGACGGGATGCTGATGGGCAATCCAGAGTTGGCATGAATACTCTTTTTCAGATCTCGAGCTTCCTGTTTGGCAATGTCCCTATCGGATTGGAAGAAATTACCGGCATCAGTTGATACATGCGGCGTCAGATCTATATCAGGTTCTTCGTTGGCAATCATCGTTGCAGTTGTTTTGGAGGTTTGGAAGTATCGAATGTACCAATGATCGGGCAATTTGTAGGAGATGTCCACGTGTTTTAACGTCGTTAAGCGTTAATATAATGGGCTGAATATACGGAATAGTCCGAAAGGCGGGTGTTCAACTCGACTAGATACCTTGCTGTGCTTTCATCAGCATCCAGCCAGACATTTCACTCACTATTAAACTGACTCAAAGCTCGCATTGGAACTTGCATTGCTGCAAATGACGGTATATACTTTTGCTGAATATTGAATATTTAACAAACCGATGCTGATTCTGTTTCAAACAAATCGGTAGGGCTCTGTTTATGACAAGTTGTCCAAATACATCGATTCCAATGAAAAATCCTACATTAAGAAATTAGCTGAAGTCGTAGCTATTGCCAGTGTATCAGGCGATGCTTCCTACCGGTAATGGGTCTCGTTTCAACAACGTTTCGTGACATCAAGCTTAACGATTCTTCTTACAGACCACGCGTATTTGAAATGGGCGAGGTAAAGGAGCTCATTTTCTTCACATTTGGTCACGCAAATCTCGGAGTCCATTCTGAAATCTTGTTACGTTACAACGCCCCTCAAATATTCTAACGTCTCGTTACGTTGACACCCTCTTTAGTGGCTATTTACTGAAATGAAGAGGCTCGGAATCAACTGTGAGAAGCGTGCTCTCGGCAAGCAAACCCTGGCAGGTACGGACCTTGAAGTACCAGATATCAGGTGTTAAAATGGACTAACCAGATATCGTCGTGACCAGGTGTCGAAATAGATTTACCTCCTATCCTGCTTGGAACTTATGGAACAGACAAAGCAAAGAAGACCATATTAGTATATGGCCACTACGATGTCCAACCTGCTCTCAAATCTGATGGTTGGGATACAGATCCATGGACGCTATTTGAGGATGATAAAGGACGTTTGTTTGGTCGTGGATCTACTGACGATAAAGGCCCGGTCATTTCATGGTTTGTGATTTCATGATTTTCGAAAGATGATGCTGTAGATTTTATCAATTCTATAAACATAGGCTTCACATCATTGAGGCACATCAAAAATTGGGTATGAAATGAATGGTTGTGTTGCTGTTGCTTTAACAGTAGCAATTGACATGATTGTTGTCACAGGTATCGACTTTCCCGTCAATCTCAAGATGTGCTTTGAAGGCATGGAAGGTAATAAAACAAATTCTTGAGTAATGAAAGAAAGTCTTGAGGATGCTGCTCGTTTACTGAAACTGCTCGTATTCTGAAACTGTTTATACCTGTAGAATCTGGAAGTGAAGGCCTCGACGAGTTAGTCATCCAAGAAGGAAAGGGCTACTTCGCTGGAGTCGACGCCTGTACGATATCGGATAACTATTGGTTTGTATTTGTGTGTGAATGCATTCTATTGATATTTGGGAAAATGTTGACTTCTTCTCCAGGTTGTCAACGACGAAGCCTTGTTTGACGTACGGCCTTCGCGGCGTGTCGTATTTTGAACTGGAGATCAGTGGGCCGGCGAAAGATCTTCACAGTGGCGTGTTTGGGGGGACTGGTGAGTTCAGTTGCTAGTTTAGTCTGATTTCCTCATTAGTTCATTCAAATATCACTCAATATTGAGCTTAGTTCACGAGCCCATGACCGACTTGTTTGCACTCATGTCCAAGCTCGTGACTCCTGATGGAACGATCTTGATTCCTGGGATAATGGATTCTGTTGCACCAGTGACTCAATCAGAGAAGGAATTGTATAAAGTACTAGATTTTACATTGGATGATTTGCACGCTGCAGTTGGCGCCAACACTCTGATTCACGACAACGAAGAGGCTGCTTTGATGCACCGATGGTATGGTGTTTTGACTAGATTACATTGGATCATTTGCATGTTGCAGCGAATGATTTTTGCCGCTTATTAGGCGATTCCCGTCGCTGTCCCTTCATGGTGTGGAAGGAGCGTTCTACGCAGCAGGAGCTAAGACTGTAATTCCGGCTAAGGTTATTGGAAAATTCAGCATTCGGTGAGCCATTCAGCTCACTCTTCCGTTGAACCATGAAAGTTCTCATTGTGAATACATCCGAACAGAACTGTGCCAAACCAACTTCCTGAAGAAATCACTGCTCTAGTCAAGAAATACTTGGATTTAGAGTTTGCCAAGCTCAAGACAAAGAACACCATGAAGCTATCATGTGGACATGCTGGAAAGAGTTGGGTTGCTGACATCAATCATTGGAACTATGAAGCAGCTGCTCGAGCTACTGAAAAAGTCTATGGTGTTGTTCCGGACTATACTAGAGAGGTATAGAGGTCTCTTTGGAACTCTCATCGCCCATTTTCTCAATAATCATCCACCAGGGCGGGTCGATACCTATTACCTTGACTTTCCAAGAAGTATTGGGCAAGAATGTTTTGTTGTTGCCCATGGGTCGAAGTGATGATGGCGGTATGTGGTTTTCGTGTATCCCAGTTTCAAAGATACTCGCTAAAGTTGATCATACATAGCACACTCAATCAACGAGAAGCTTGATAAGAGCAATTATATCGAAGGCATCAAACTCTTGGCAACATATTTGCATGAAGTTGCTGCAAACTGAGACTCAAATTCGGTATTAGAAGTGTAAAGAGCGACCAAATATACGTTCCATTTGAAGAAGTCTATGGTTCATGACTGACTATGCAAGAAGCTTTTATTGTGCTAATTCTAATCGTCCAGCCACTAGTCACTGGTCTCACGGTCGTTCTCATACGATAGAGTATTCATATCTCTGGAAAATCAACGTCTTTTGCCAGGCACTCCACACTACCAGCTGTTCCAGTTCAAAAATTGCTGTTACATTTTATTTTAAAATTTGCATGAGGTTTGAAATACTACAAATGGAATTGTGCGAATGATATAGATTAATGATAACTCAAGCCGTTAGGTTTTGGTGCTCCAGACCGAACTAGAGGCACAGATCGTCTCGATCCCTGTGTCGGAAACGAGTCCAATACAGGCGCAGAGAAATCTCCAAACGCTGGTGGAGCGTCGTAGAACTGCGGCTGCTGCTGCTGCTGATCCGTATACCCGTTCATGTACTGCTGAGGTTGCTGCTGCTGCTGATCTGTATACCCATTCATGTATGCAAAGTTTGGTGTATCTCGTTGCTGGACCATGTTGGCTTGCACGATATTAGGCTGCATCATATTCGGTTTGCCATTCATTATTGGCTGCTGCTGGACCATATTGGGTTGTACCATATTAGGCTGCATCATATCCGGTTTACCGTTCATCATGGATGGTTGCTGCATCATTGCAGGTTGAGCCATTTGGGGTTGTGCGGGGTAAACATCGTGGTGGTCGGCATAACCGTTATGATCAGTCCATCCACTGTCGAGATCCTGGTATGCAATTCCGGTTAGGCTGGATTGAATGTTGATTGCATAGCAATGTAGTGGCTTGCCTTCAGATCCTGTTTCATTTGAGCATATCGAATCAATCGTCCAAGTCTCCAGAATCGCAAAAGAATTAGATTTGGAGATACGGCCAGACTTGTTACAGCAGGCAATGCTGTTTGTGAAGAAGTTGGGATCAGTGGTTGAACAATTGTTTGTATGGGATTTGTATCGGATGTCGCAAACTCACCTGGTTTCAATACAAAACAGAAAAAGACGAGGAATAGATCAAAGATTTGGTATATATCTGTAAAGTAGTGAAAAACTCGCTGGCCGACCACCCTCATGAAGATCTCAATCATGAAAAATGTCCGGATCAAAACAGAGGTGATATAGATTGGGTCTAAGAAAGTGGTGCCGGGTGAGACTTGGAATCTTTCCTAGAACAATTATTGCTTTTTTGTGTGTTTCAAACACTACTTTGCCATCCAATGGGTATGGCGGCGATGTCTTCAATATTCAAACGCCGTCCTGCCTTACATCTGGGATACACATGGTAATCGATAGCTTCAGGGTGATAGAGCACGATGATCCACTCGGCTTGATTCAGGACAAAGTCAATAAAAATCAGACTACACACTACACGTTCCAGTAGCGAAGTGTTTAAAAAGTTTAACCTATGAAGATCGATTGTGTTTTAGCAAATTGTCATCGATCGAGAGTGTTTTAGCATATTGTCATCGGATGATTATTATAGAATCCGAGGTTGGATTCCAGTGGTTGCAACGCGGTTCCACAAACAACAAGGTGACAGTGGTTGTATGTTTGGATTCGATGCTGCGACGGATGATCCATCACGAGGATGGGGTCTGGCTCGATTCAACCAGCAGTTTCGGGTGTATGCAAGTAAAATACATCCATCATCGAAGCAACAGGCCAACTTACGTTTTGACATGGTTTTCGTGTGGTTTCATTCCAAAACTACATAGTAGTGCCACGACCAGAGCAAGACATGCGCCCTCCTCTAACAAGTGACTCGACTTCTTTGGCGGTGGTGAATCGTTCATGGCCCTAGATCTTGAAGGTATCTATCGCCCAGCAGGTCTTTTGTTTAAACTTGCGGACTTGGGCTGCGGGAGAAGTTTGCATTTGGTAGTCACAAGGGTTTTGGCATGTCGATCTTAAAGCAATAGTTCTAATGAGCGGCTGCTCACAATTTGATTTATGCGTATATAATTCGACTTGCGAGTGACACGAGAGTGCTTGACGTGAGCCACATTGATGAAATCACGTAACTGGTTTGTATTCCTAGCACTCGAACAAAATATTTAGTTTACTCTCATCCCGAGTCATCGCCAACCCCCGGCAGTGACGAGTTGTAGGTTCAAATTTGTCTGTTGTTGGGAGTGTGTCGCCAGTCCACATTTTTAAATTTCCTTTTTCCTTCAGGCTCAACAGTTCCCAACACAAAATACTACAACCTCTTCATATTGAGAACGGCACTAGAGTGACTGGATTAGCGCAATTCTCCATCGATACATTCATCATCAACGCCGAGGAAGTGAGTTTCATCGCAGCCTGCAACTGTCCGCATCAAGAACTACTTCTTTATCGTGTGTGGACCGTGCAACACTCTTGTTTACGAAAAATAGACTCACATCAACATACAACTGATTATAGATAAAGGAGCTCCCATCCCCACCCATGGAATCTCCATTGCAGCAGTCCCTCTCCTCGCCGCAGCAACCCATCAAGCTGCCCCACGATGATGATTATTGCAAAAACTTTGAATGTTGTGGCATGGTTTGGTCGGATTTGCATGAGCTATTGCAACATCATGAGGCCTGCCATGGATCGCCAGAGGAAGTATTGGACGAGGATAACGACGATATGGACTCGGCTTCCGTATCGAGAGACGACCACTCCACCACCTTTGGCGTCCTCCCCGCTAGTGTATCGGCTAGTAACAGCACATCCACAAGTGCTTCTGCCTCTCCAACGCCATATCACTCGCCTACATACTCGCCTGTAATAGCTCCTGCACTAGCCTTGCTAGCTCCCTTCTCGGCCGATACTTTGGGTGCTCCCGTAATGTCGCTCGACGTTATAGATCCAGTCGCCGTCTCACTGTCCGATATATATAGCGCACCACGGAATCATCAGAATCAATACAACCAATCGTTTGCCACTGCTAGTACTGTGTTTTCATCCTCCTGGCAACTCGGTCCAAAACGAAGGATGACGGTCGCTACGTCATCATCACTGCCATCATTGAATACATCCAATAATGGAATCAAGAGGCAGCGGTCACGAGACAGCCCGTCTGTCTTTCCATATATGCAAAAGCAGTCTAGCCGAGTAACTCGTAATATGCGACACCTCCCATCCAAACTCAAGGAACCGCAGGGTGCCATCAAACAACGCAAATATGTACATGAACGCTTTGTAAACATGAGGAATGCTCATCTGGATGGTATTGCTGTCGTCGATCGCGACAAGAACCGTATTTATAACTCTAATGAAATCGACCTCGTCAGCATCCCATCACCACCCTCAACTGAATTGGCCAACATGTCGGCATCATCCGGCTCCTCATCATCTGAAGAGGATGCTCCATCCGATGATGAAAACATGTCTGATCTGGAATCTATTGATGAATCCATGGATGTAGATGATAACACTACAATGCTATTAACCAGATATGGAAGGCTTCGTCGTCTAGAACATGACGATGAAATGGACGATGAGGTCATAATAGGAATAGTGGTTGGGTCTGTCGAAGAGGATGATCTGGATGATATCCCGCTGTCTGACCTGGCATTGGAAAAAGTCTTGCCTGGAACTGTAGTGCGTCAATTGCCTCAAAAGGTGCAACTAAAGACTTCCAAGAAGATTGAAATCATTCCTGGATATAGTTTATATAAATGTCTGACTCCAGGCTGTCCCAAAAAGTACAAGCATGCCAACGGATTGAAGGTGAGGACAAATTTTCGATCGAAAGTTTGACTTTGTATTCAGTTTAGACAGTGCAAAACAAAACAGAGAGATCATCCATTCAACGAATGATTGATGTACTAATTACTGGTTTACTACTAGTTCCACATGTCGACTGTACATCCCTTTCGTAAGGGAACACCGCTACCATCCCCACCTAAAATCGAGTCTTTACCAATGTCCATAATGATACCCGACTCGATTGTATCTCGTGCATCTCCCATCCCAGAACATGAACCTCTAGTTATCGCAGAATCTATAGTTGATGCACCCAAAGGACCCAATCCACTCTTTCCTCGGGATTTCGCTCCACATATATACGACTCATCTGTCCGAGACAAGGGAGACTTCTCATGTCACTTTGAAGGATGCTTCAAGACGTATAAGAATGGGAGTGGCATTCGATACCATCTAAGTAAGTTGACTTGTGTGTCTTTGCTGACACTTTTTTCGATCGTCCTTGCTAACCCTTTTTTGGCATCTTGACAGACACCTATCATGCAAAACAAATGGCTGAGAAGCAGAAGGATGAAGCTGCCAGTACCGGTAGTACTGACTCTGAAACTATCGAGGCTGGTAAAGCTACCGATGAAGACACAAACAATGCACAAACAGATTCAGACAAGGATTCAGTAGTAGTATCTAGCAGCGAGGCACAAGCAACCACGACAGAACAAGACCATCTAGCTATTCTGGTAGCTTCCACCTCATCGGCTTCTCCCACTCGCATGTCTACTAGGCAAAGCGAGTAGAGACAGTCATGTTAACAATGTATTTATATAGCAAAAGAAGCAATTTGTAAGGGACATTCTTTTTGTTGAAGTGGAGGGAGGGGATTGGCTAAGGTGTGATATTTAGTGTTATATTTGGTGATGTCATATTGGGTTTTTGTGTGTGGGTTGCACAGCGTGTGTTGTGTTATTTGTGTGTATGTAAGGGATTTAAAAACGTAAATAACGGAAAGAAGAAGATACCCTTGTAACTGTATCCAAAAAACTAGTATGTGTGTAAAAAAGTATGTTGGGAAGACTGTTTAAGAATATATAAAGATTGAACAAACACATCATCTCGCTTCCAAAGTTCGGTATATGGAGACGCTTATATGCAATTTTGATACACTTAATACAAAGACCCACAATTCAGGCACCTCGGTCTACCCCTCGAGAGCCCAAACGACGTTCCACCACATTTAGTACATCGATCATCCTCACTACCATCAGTTACAGGT